TGAATATTTTGACAAAATTATTTGTAGTTATTTTGACAATTTTATTATTTTCTTATGTTATTATTAATTTAGTCTGTTGGAAAGAAATTTTTATATGCATCTCTACTATACAAAAAAAATGTTAAAAAAAATCTATCTATAAAAATTTCCAAGTTATGAAAGTTTGCTCTTTGAATCTATTTTTGTTGGAAAAATAATTTTCCGAGGCTATTAGAAGAGGAAACAAGGAAGCTATATCCTAAATTATAAGTAACTCTGTTTAATGTTGTAATTTGTGGCTTTTGTTGGGAAAATTTTTGTACCTTTGCTAAATAATTTAAAAAAAAACGTATACAAAATCATCAGTAAAATGTCAAAAAATAAATGTTAAAATTTTTTGATAGATAGAATTTTTTACACATTTTTTCCATGTTCCTGGTATCTTATCTTATTTAAAATTTTTCTCTGGGACGCAAGTTTTGACACACCCTATACTTGTTTATTCCCTTGATACATAAATAGCTAATTTGATAAAATAATGTCTAATTATACCTAATAGTATAAGTACTCTCTCACTACACGTGTATCGACATATAAGAGTATTTTATCACATATCTGTAATGTAGAAATATTACCAAAAACACTTGAAAAGATATTGAATGTGAAAACGAATTGTCGTTTTCGACAAATCAAAATTTGAACTGTAAAACATTTGTTTTGTTTATCGTAAAAGAGAATTCATTGTTGTACTCACAACCACTTACTTCATTTGTCAATTTTTTTTATCGCATTGCAATTTTTAATTAGTAAAGATTTTGATGTAGTATTGGCAGTTTGTGTAATAAAATAAATGTGTTATTATCAAATTATTGCATCTTTTATTTAAGAAATTTTATATCACAGAATAAATTTGTTTTGAAGTTTATTACTCATCATTTTTGTGTAAAACATCATGTAGAACGCGTGATTATAAGAGGTCATTTTATCACTGGTAACGTGCTCTTGGATTCTTTAGATGTCACTGCATTGAAATATAAATTTATGAATAAATTGAAATTTTATCATGAAAATCGCTTAAAAGCACCTTAAAGGTAGAGATTTCGAAAAATATAAAAAAACTCACAGTAAAATGAACGACAGGGCTGAGTCTTTTAATGGTTTTTTTCCAATCTTTTCGGAAACATTTTTGATAAAATTACAAAATTTAGTACAGTTGTAAACCTTTATACACCTAAACGAATTCGAAGATAAAATGTAAAAATTTTTAATCAGGGGCTTCCTAAACTGAGTGGATTTAGGGTAAAAAATACTTTATTTCTAACTCTAACTATTTCGGTTGTAGTTTCTTGCTACTTTCAGCAACAAAATTCCAAATTTCATGGTTTTCCATAAAAAAGTTTTTTGCGTTTTTCCGATTTTGAGTAAAATCAATTTTAAAATTTATGTTACAGACCATAAACAGCATAAAAATATTAGATTTGTTTTACCGTTTAGGACGCCCCAAAACTTGACCATTTCATTTTGGAATTCGTTTAGGTGTATAAACTTTTATATAGCTGTATGTACCAAATCTTGTAATTTAATCTATTCTGAAATATTGGGGAAAACTTTTTAAAGAACAAAAAAAAACTTTAAAGAACACAGCCCTTTTAGGGGCATTTATCGAAACATGTTTATTGGAATCTTTTGTCTTAAAATTGAATATTTCATCATCTACATATTTAAATTTGTAAGAACACCCTGTATATATTCTCATTAAGCAGAACTACGGATACCTAAAGACTAGGATATGACACGATGTAAAACAAAACGTCTCCGTTCTCGATTGTTGCGTTAGTGAGGCCAGATAGCGCAGTTGTTCCTTTCATAAGTTTTAAGAGCAATGAAATGAAAAAAATGGCTAAATATACATAACGATGAGCAAATCACAAACAAAAAAATTAATAATAAGAGATAAAGGTAATGTAAATTGAAAACTATATTTAAAAAAATGTCAAACATTTACCGATTTGCGCTCCGTGTGTCATTTCTAATTTTTGTATTATTGGAAAAAAAACAGAAAAAAAAATCGCATAATTCAAAAACAACATAAAATTTCGTACTCAAAATACTATCACAATTTTTATATTACTTTAATTTATATAAATTATTATTTTCTGACGACAAATGATAAAAAAAACCGCTTGGTTCCATACTTTATATTCACCCTGTATGTGTTTCGATAGATACATCAGGTGTAATTAAAATAAAGACGCTTTGATTTGATTTGAATTTTGAAGCGCGCTCAATAGAAAAGTCCTCCATGATTGGTCGATAAGTTTTTGACGTCAGAGGATATAAAATGATAAATGAATAAAACCTGCGACTCGTCCTCGCCGCTTACGTATCATAAGTAAAATATAAATTGAAAACGAGCGTTCGCTTCGTAACAAACCGCGACGACGACGATCACCACAGAGATATTATGCAGGTTGTCGTAAATGTGTGGTGCGGTGACTTGGCAGAATACTTTAGAAATCGACGTGAAACGCACGCTTCCAGATCAAATTGTTCTTTCTTATCACGATGTCGTTGTGATCTAGTGACCTAACGCGAGTGGAAAAACTTAAATTTAGACTATTTTATCGGGCTGTTTTCAACCGCAAAGTTTATTTAGTGAACGTGGACACTCATTTCAGTGACTAGCTGATATGGGATTATATGAAGGTATTTTGACAACATCTAATCTAGCATTATGTATTCTATTACCTGGTAAAACTACTACATACATAGCTCGCTGTGTGTGTAAGTAGAGAATTATTCTAATTACACTTAACAACATAATTGGTTCGACTATCAAGGACAAGGCCGATTAGAAATTTTAACTCCTTGAAATAAAAAACACTTCTTTGAGATCTAATTATTACACGAAGAGAAAAATAGAATAAAATAAAACTGTGATTGAGCTAAGAAACACACTCATCAGTGGAGAGGGATTCCGTAGATTCGGTTATTATGCAACAATTGGTCAAAGTCCAAATTATATTTCTGGAATGAAAGTTCTATTTAAATCTTCATACGCACTCCTATTAACGCCAAATTTATATCAAAATACAAACTTGCTTGACAATTTTTATTTAAATAACATAAAAACAGTTTATTGTTTATCAATACGACACTATTTGCACTTTTAAGTCCAAACATTTAGTTTGTTATGTAATTACAATTTCTTATAGTTTGACACACACGTGTTGCTCTATCAGAATGCTAAATATTAATTTTTTTCATTCACAATTAAATAAGACAATTTTATGCTTCTTCTTATAATAATTAAATCAATTGTCTTGTAATGAGAGTCAATAATATTAAAAGCGTTTTGTTCTTAGTATCATATTGAATAGGCTGTAATAAATTTCTTCGGGTTTTACATTACAAAATAAAAGAAATGAGTAAGAGAAATTAGTTGTAAAAATTGGTTTTCCGCTAATAGTTTAATTTCTCATAAAACAATGATATTGTGGTTTTACTATTAATTTCATTTTTGCAAATGTGGTTTCTCTTCTTGTTATCTATCTAAGACTTTTGGATCCAATATCTCTATTATTTGCCAACGGATTTAAAATGTATTTAGTAGATAGAGATAAATATCGCATTACTAGTCTTTAAAATGCTTTTTAAAAATGCTAAATAACTTAAAATTCATATTAAATTGTTAATTGCCAATAAAAAATGTCATAAGCAAAAATCTGTCTTTTAAAAAAATCTGGTGTGAACATCACACGACTTTCCTTATCCAACTTATTTGGAAAACATACCCATTATTATTTTTATTTTATCCCATTTTACTGTTTTCTAAATAATTTTTATTTATTTATATTTATTATCTTCAACCGTATAATTTAGATTTTTGGTCTTTGTGGCCGAACGGTGCGACCGATTTATACCAAATGTTTCGTGCTACGCCCCCTTGCTACAAGTAACTTACATACCAAATTTCCAAGTTTCTAGTTCTTATCGTTCTCGAGATATGCTGTTTACAGACAGACACACACACACACTACCCAATGGCCTTTTTTGGTGTCTTGAAGATATAATCCCTTATAGGATAAGGAAAGTAAAAATTGTGTAAAAAGTGACCGGATTTTAATCACCCCTGACTGTTGATATTTGACGTTTATTGTTTCTCTAACTTTAAAAAGTTAATAACCTAATTTAGGAACTGCATTTTTTGGGCTAATCATTTCAGTACAAAAAAAAGATGCTTGACTTAATTTACCACAGGGTTGTACAAATTGAACGGATTCATAAAAATCCGTTGGCAAATAGGATATTAGGCCCGCAAATTTTACGTGGGACACCTTGTATAGTGGAATATTTTCGAATTTGTTATAAGTCTAAATGTTTCCAGTTTTTCCACAATAAATTGCAGAACAGAGACAAAAAAATTGTTTGCGACGAAGTTTTTGCTTATCAAAATCATTGTTCGCTGATAAGTGTGGAAATATACCGTTGGCTTGTTCAACATTTTTTATGAATATTTCATTCAACCATTGTTGAAAACAGTCTTTTTATTTAAATTTGTTTGTGATTATTTACTAGCGCCACTATGCTGCTCCTTTAATAATAGTAACTTATCAGTAATGTGTCATATATTATGCGTCGAATTTATTTATCATTTCCTGGAATTTTCAGAGAATTAAATAATGATGATTCTTAACGTCCAAAGTCTTTCTTTTCTTATCAGTGTTTGAATCAAGGTTATTAACAATGATCCATCGAAAATTTCCATTATTTCGACGATAACTTTGTTGAAATCTAATCCTGGGATTGATAAATTGATATTATGTAGTAGACAAGTGGTTATTTGTCCCTTTTCATAAACTTGCTGGTATGCCAATAGGAAAAACTACTGATTAATAAATAGAGCTTTTCGTCATTGTAACGTCATCACATTATGTGACGTAAAATCGTGTTCAAAATCACATCAACCTTTGGAGTGTCCAAAAGTCCAAACCAAGACCTACCGCAAGGGAACTCCGAATTGAGCTTCGACTATGAACTGCTTACCAACTGATTTTTTAAATACAACAATCGCAGTCTAGAGGGACAATCTGTGATTGCTGACCTAATAGGTCATGAATATTGCGACTAAACTCAACAACGCCCCTTATTAATCACAATAAACAAAATTATTATTATAAAGAAAGAACTCATTTCAAAAATTAACAAAGAAAATTTATCTGTAGTGGAATATTTTTGTAACGGAAATATAATTGCAGTGATATGTACACAATTATTTTTTTTTAATTATTTAATGTGGATATGTATTGAAAAATAATTGTTCTTGAAGGTTATTTAAATTAGCACGTTAACGCTGACATCTCAAAACTAATGTTAAGATTGTTGGTTTAGTAATAAATAATGTAAATTTATCAATATTAACTTATTCGCTTTGTAAATATTTATAATGCAGAAAATAATAACGGAAATCTACAAAATCGAAGAGGAATGAATTTCAAGCAAACTGATAACTACTGCAGACTAAACAAATGTTACCAATCGAAAATCTAAGGATAGTATAATAATTTCTAGTGTTGTCACATTTTTATTTAATTTTATTTTCCATCACATAGGTAGACTTACAACAAATTGTCGACACTTTCGTATAACAGGAAGTTGTTCTAAGATTGCATTCAACGATATGAAAAAAGCAATCGAAGGTAATAAAAGGAAGAGAATAACTATTTTATTATTCAGACTAATTCAAATCCATCAAGAAATTGTTTCAACTTGAGAAAATTTTGAAATGTTTTTCAAGTCTTATAGTTGCTGCTTGTCCATTTAATTGTCTCCATACTCAACTCACTATTCAAGTTAATTTATTTAATTGACATTCTGGTTTTTATTGGCGTCATATTTAGATATTCTAAAATTTTCCAGTACATAGTGGTTATTAACAGTTTTTTTTTTAAGCCAATAATAAATAATTTCCCATCAGCCTCCTACCTGAAAATCAAGTTTTTTCTATTCGCTTTCATGAAAAAATGAATGATTTTTGCACAAGTTTGGTTTTATGTAATTACCGAAATAGCCCAACATGAACATTAAAGCGAATGACATAAGCAAATGGAATTTGTAATTACCTACAATTTAAGAATCTATTAACAAAGCAAACAATACAAAATATATTGTTTTTTTACACAAAAAAAATGCAATTAATTTTAATTTCCTTGTGATATTTAAGTTAGGTATCGTTTCAGCAGACACTGAAATGACGATGGCAGCGAGTAACAACTCGCTAACAGCAACCCTGAATAACTCTGGATCTGCAGGAGCAGCAGGAGTAGTTCAAATGAGCCAACATTGTGCCATTTGTGGTGATAGAGCAACAGGAAAACATTATGGTGCTGCATCCTGCGACGGTTGCAAGGGATTTTTCAGAAGATCTGTCAGGAAAAATCATTTATATACATGCAGGTAATTCGATAAATGAAAAAATAATTTAATAGTCATCATGTCTGTGCGAAATCGACGACGAGTTTTTATTAATGACCTTGCGTCAATGTAACTAGGTAAATTTTGCTGGGAAATAATTATAGCGTAATAGATCAATGTTACCTTGCGTTGGTAATAATAATTATGATGATAATTTCATGTATTTGATAACAAGTAGTGTTTACGATGATGTTGTCGTTAATGATCAAATAAATAATTGCTTTTTTATTACATTTACTTAGTTATTGTAAAATGGCCGTATTTTTTGCACTCAAACACACATTTGTGTAAATATTCGAGGGCCGAAAATAACCAGTCTTGTGTAAATGTTTTTCTCTTTAAAATTCATTAATTCAAGGTGGACTGAAATAAAATTACAAGGTCACATAGATTGTTGGTTTAGTTTTTGTTCATTTTTATGGGGGGACGGGGATTTCCAAAAAGAAATTCCCGCATCTATACTTATTTTTTGTAGGTTTAGTCGAAATTGCATAGTGGATAAGGACAAAAGAAACCAATGTAGGTATTGTCGTTTAAGGAAATGTTTCAAAGCTGGTATGAAAAAAGAAGGTAAAAAAAAAGTGACCATCACATATTTATATTTTTAATTGAATAATTTCGTAGCTGTACAAAACGAACGCGATAGAATAAGTTGTCGACGACCGAGTTATGAAGAAAACAATCAAAATAACGGCTTATCAGTTGGTTCATTGCTAAATGCCGAAATGTTATCACGGCAAGTAGGAGCAGCACTGGAAGTAATAACAAATCAATAAATTTGAATAAAAAAATCACAATTGAATTTATTCTAGCAAATGGGTCCCACTCCTGTTAACGATTACGATTTATCCAACAAACAATTAGCCAGTATAAACGATGTTTGTGATTCAATGAAACAACAACTTTTGATTTTGGTCGAATGGGCCAAATACATTCCAGCATTCACAGATCTTCAATTAGACGACCAAGTTGCCCTTTTGCGAGCCCACGCCGGTGAACATCTTCTTCTAGGACTCGCACGACGTTCCATGCACCTTAAGGACATTCTCCTTTTGGGCAACAATTGCATCATCACCAAACACAGTCCAGGTAAATTATTATTATTATTTCTCTTGCATGGGGAAAAAACACCACAATTCATTTAAGGGTGGTTTAGCATGTTCGTACATTTATTCAGTCTTGTAACATTTGCACGTTACAGAGCATTAATTAACGGGATTGGTTTTTATAGGTATCATTTGAATGTTTATTTGGGAATAGCAGATAGCATGGCATGCATATTAATCATAATTATTAAATAAATAAATGTACGAACATGGAGATTTGAATTAAATGGACAATGTCCAATGCAGTGATGATGTTGACAGACTCCCGAGTCTCTCCCGATTTGGATATTTCCCGTGTTGGTAGTCGAATCATGGACGAACTGGTTAAACCTATGACAGAAGTCCAGGTGGATGACACTGAATTTGCTTGCCTCAAGGCTATTGTATTTTTCGATCCGAGTAAGTAATATATCAGATAAGTGTTTTGCGCAATAATTTTAAAAATAACCGAACAAATAATGATAAGATTAAGGAAAGAAACTTGTTATCGTTTTAATTGAAAGATCAATATCGATCGAAATTTAAATTCTGTGTTACAGATGCCAAAGGATTAAGTGAGCCAGCACGCATCAAGGCCTTACGTTACCAAATCCAAATTAATTTAGAAGATTATATTAGCGATAGACAATACGACAGTAGGGGTAGATTCGGGGAATTACTTTTAACACTTCCTGCTCTTCAGTCAATTACATGGCAAATGATTGAACAGATCCAATTTGCTAAATTATTCGGAGTCGCACATATCGATAGTTTATTGCAAGAAATGCTCCTAGGAGGTAATGATTATTATATTTTTTTTATCAAGGTAAAAAGAAAAGCAATTAACCTGTTTAGTAATCAATTATATGAAATAATAACACCATTAATCATATTAACAACAATTATTAAAACGTGTTTGTGATGAGCAATAAACTAGGACAAGTAATAATTATGTTTTGCACGTGGCAAGACTTGAATTCAACTAAGTAAAATATAGAATCGATTCTAGGTGCCAGTATTGACACGAACACAGCTGCAATGATGAGTAGTTCTGCTAATACCAGCGTCAATTACCAAAGTACCAGCGATTCAGCTGATAGTCCAGTCACATCGCCAAACACAACACAATGCAATAGCCCAACAGATCATCTAATAAATGGGAATATTTCGAGTCCTCCAACAGCAACATCGAATGTTCTCATCATGCGTGATATTACACCAATTGATGAAAATTCATACATGGCATTTAAACAAGAACCCATTCAAGAAGTGGAACAACACACATTTTAAACTCCTATTTATCTAGAATAAGTTTTTTTCAAAAAAGTATTTCTACAGGGTAATTTTAATTGTGTTATTAGTCATCACACGATTGCATGAAGTGGTGTCGTCTTCCAAAACATGATGAACTAATTACAGTGCCTTAAACTGATTATAAAAGTGCTTATAGAGAGGCTGTGAAATGAATAACTACATATTATCGCACCAAACTTTTCTTGGTTGCGTGGAATTATATTATTGCGTGTACCTATTTTAACTTGCCAATTTTCATAGTCATGCTTTTAAATGATATTGATAGGAAAGACCTGATTGCTCAATTTTTAAAGAACAAATTATGTATATAATGTAAACAGATCTCTTATTGGCAGTGGTGTTTTAATTTTTATCGTAGGTGTATGGAATTTTTTAGTGTTAGCATTACTATAAAAGACACTCTTTTTTTTTTTTAATTAATACATAAGTAATTTGCCATTGAGTTACTGACATTTTGTTATATGTTTCTAAATTAAATGCTTTAGGATAAGAAAATATATGATGTATCCTTCCCTACCTAATTTAACATTTAAATTTGTGAGTGGAAGGTCAGTGTATAGTTATAATTTTTTTAATTGGTTATATGGTCGACATTGAGATTTTACTCAATGTGTAAGTAAGGGTAATTTAACCTATTTTGTTTGTTTTTTTTTCCTTTATTTAGTTTGCATTTTTCTACCATTTAAGGTGGCAAGGTTCTTTGTTTTTTGTTACCAGTTATGTTAGTTTTATTGTTGTATAATCGGTGTTTGTATGTTTTCTTTGTTTTATTTAATCTATTAAGTTTCATGTGTTATGGCGAAAACGTTTGGTATTGAAATTAGTTTACCTAAACTTTAGATAACAAAATTATGTCATAATGCAATGCAAAATTGCCGTTATTTATTTAGGTGAATTGTTAAAAGGCTGGAGGTGGCAATATTACGTTTCTTTATATTAATATAAATATTTTATAAAAATATGTAACTTGTTTATTTAAAAAAATTCCTCATCTACTCTCTTCCTTTTTTTATGATTGGTCACCATAGTGGCTGCTTCTAAAGGTATTTCTGATACTTTCAACCATGAAATTAACTTCATTCTAGCATCATGCCCACTTTCATACAACCTTTTTTCTAGAGCATCCAATTTTTCTATAACAATAGGATCAGATATAAAGTTGTCTGCTAAATCCATGATTTGTCTAAATCGCAATGTAAACGTCTAAAATCAATCGTTTAAAATAAATATTTTACTTGTTCAATAATACTTTACATGTAATAACGCTTCTGCTATATCATAATTCTGAGTAAAACGTTTTACATAAGACCCCAATTCATAAAAATAAACACCAAACTTATGCAAATCAACTGCACAAGGATCAGCTTTGAGAATTTCAAGATATGTATCCTTGTAAACTTTTGGCAAATCTGGGGCTATCACAGGTTGTCTCATTAGAGTAATTTCGAGTACTAGCCATAGTGGTAACTCCAACACCGTGCCAGATTTTAGATCTGTATCCTCTGTAGCTGGATTTAACTTTCCTAAAACGCAACTTTATAACCCCACTAGGTGCTAAAACAGTGATTACCTAATTTGAGTATGTTTTGAACAAACTTGCAAGGAATTTTTTCTTGAGTCGCTAGAATGTCATCGACGGAGAAATAATTTGGCAAATAAGATGTCTGAAGCGCCATTATTTCATTTTTTTATCAAAATCTTGATCAAAACCAAAACGAATTGACGTTTTAAAAATGCGCATGCGTCAAACTTTTGCTATCGTTTGTTCAACAAATACAAAATTAGATTATAAATTATTTGAGTAATAATAAACAATAATTCTTACTGTTTCTAAAAACAAATGTTGTTGTAAGTAATAACTAAAATGTAAAAATATAAAAACTGATAAAAAAAAAAATAGTTATATTACGATTTAGGCTTTTTGTTATTTGTGTTGCGCACTTCCGGCTTCCAAAAGTGCTGTCATCATATTATTGTGGTTACTTTTTAAAGTCGAATTTTTGCTTTAATTACCGTTTAATCGAAAACTACACTATCCCGAAACTTGTGAAAAATGGTAAGTTTTGTTATGGTAGATTTGAAATAGAAATTTGTGAGAATTGAGGTTATGTTTGTTTTTGTTGCATTGTCATCTCTTTTCTGTAAAATCAAATTTCAGGCTCGTCGATATGATACACGAACCACGATATTTTCCCCAGAAGGTAACTATTTAAAAATATTCCAATTTGTAACTAAAAAATAAAAATTGTCTTTAGGCAGGTTGTATCAAGTTGAATATGCAATGGAAGCCATCAGTCATGCAGGCACTTGCTTAGGTATTCTTGCCAATGATGGTATACTTCTTGCTGCTGAAAGACGGAATACCAACAAGTTGCTTGATGAAGTATTCACTTCAGAAAAAATCTACAAACTCAATGAGTATGTTGATGTTTTGACTATTATTATTATGTAATGTGTAAAATTTCAGTGATATGGTATGCAGCGTGGCTGGTATTACTTCAGATGCGAATGTGTTAACCAATGAGCTTCGCTTGATTGGCCAAAGATACCTCTTTCAGTATGGTGAATCAATGCCTTGTGAACAATTGGTTTCTTGGTTGTGTGATGTTAAACAAGCATATACACAATATGGAGGTTGCATAACGGATTAGTTTTCTTAATATTTATAAAAATTGTTTACAGGAAAACGTCCCTTTGGTGTTTCTATTTTATACATGGGATGGGATAAACATTATGGCTATCAATTATATCAGTCAGATCCAAGTGGGAACTACAGTGGATGGAAAGCAACATGCATTGGAAATAATAGCGCTGTAAGTTGTAATAATTATTACCAACAAGTTTAATTATATTTTGTAGGCTGCCATATCCAGTTTAAAACAAGAATACAAGGAGGGCGAAATGACTCTTGAAGATGCTAAAACTTTAGCCATTAAAGTTCTTGTTAAAACTTTGGATATGACTAAACTTACAGCAGAAAAAGGTAAAATTTAGATTTGTTGATTCATTAAATGAAATATTATTTATAGTTGAGATGGCAACTCTCAGTCGTGTAAATAACAAAACTATTATCCGCATTCTTACAAGCAAAGAAGTTGAAGAATTGATCAACCAATATGAAAAAAAGGAAGCCGATGCTGAAGCTCTTAAAAAGGAGCAAAAAACCGTTTCTTAATTACATAATTGTCATGTTTAACTACAATAAATTGATTTACTTAAATTATTATTTTTGAAAATCCCGCCGTTTTAAAATATTCACGAAAGATGTCACTGTAGTTGGCACTTCCGCCGCATTGCATTGTGGGTCAGACAACCTAATCGCCCTTTGCAGCCTGAAATTTCGTGTCTAGTGCTGGGAATAAAATACAAGAAAAATGTCTCTTCTTTCAGTTCGTCTGGCTGCTTCAGTGGCAAGGCGTTTGCCGAATAATGTCACACAGGTAATAATTTCATTTTTATGAAAAAAAAGTCTAAATTTTACGTAACACACAAGTGCCATCCGGTGACATAATCTCTTTTTTTCCTTCCCAAATTAATATCTGATCCAAGATGCGACATAAACTAATAAATTATACAACGACTGTTGTGGCTACACTAATGACCTTTGTAGTGTGAGATTTTGCGATAATGGTGGATGTGTTATGTAATCGTTATAAATTTTGTGTGTTAAGGTCGCAGGGGTGGCTTTCCCAGCCTCTCGAAAACTCCACGTCACCCCAAATAATCGCGGCGTTGAGCTTTCATCCATTTTAGAAGAACGCATCCTTGGGTCTGCCCCAAAAGCCGATCTTGACGAAACTGGACGTGTGTTGAGTATTGGTGATGGTATCGCTCGTGTCTACGGCCTCAAAAATATCCAAGCCGATGAGATGGTGGAATTCTCATCAGGTCTTAAGGTGATTATTGATATTACAAATTGACAAAATTGATTATTTTCTATATTTAGGGTATGGCTCTTAACTTGGAACCTGACAACGTTGGTGTCGTAGTCTTTGGTAACGACAAACTCATCAAAGAAGGCGATATTGTCAAACGAACGGGGGCTATCGTCGATGTTCCAGTGGGCGATGAACTTCTGGGACGTGTAGTAGACGCTTTGGGTATTTATTTGTCTCATTTTTAGTAGGGGCCTAAAAAGGCCACAAAAGGTGGGGTAGTAATAATTTTCAAAGTTTTTGACCTTGGAGGAGGACCATTCGAGGCGCCATGAAAGGTACGAAAAATCAGTTTTTCCAAAATAACTCCGATTCTACGACAGAAGTGTTCTGATAAAAGTTAAAGAAGACAAAATTCCTCACATTTTCTGTATCAATATTTTTTTGTAAGTCTAATGTGTAACGAGTTACAGCGGCGCACAGTGAGCGGCAAAAATCCAGATTTTGTAGGTAATCCAAAAAATTTAATTTGATACCTTTGTTAAAAATAAGTAATTAAATATATTTAAAGAGTTTAAATACCAAAAACCTCCATATTAATTTATCTATAAGCATGAGAAGTCGTCACACAATAAATAAGCATATTTTCACGATCGCTTGGATAAGTCTTAAGACATATTTTGTTTGTGATTTGTTGAGTTTTGCAAAATTGATCTAGTTGTATTAGGTTCATGTACATTTAAAAAAGTTTTTTTGGAAACAAGTTTGTTTAATAATTTTAAGAACACCAAATTTTTGTAAAATTTTGCGCCAAACTGGGACTTGTTGGAAACTGTTCTTTACACTCTGTGTTAACGATTAAAACAAAATCAGCTGCGTAAATCTAAAATAATAATCTCCAATTCTTACAAGTAAGGTAGATAGAAGAAAGTTCTTTTTTTCTTGTAAATGGTAATTCAAACACTATTTTTTTTTTAGTTTCTTTTGTAGGTAAATATGTATGCAGAGGTAAAAAATAATTTTAGTCGTTTAAAGCTCTATTGGTATTACTACGTGTTCTCATATTGAATTAACAACTATAACATTAAAAGGGTTGTTCGAAAAATGTTATTTTTAATAAGAATTTTACAGCCCTCGAAACGTGGGTATCGAAGTTTGTGTTTTTTTGTAATAACTGGGAACCATTTGACCAAATATAAAAAGTGGTTCAGAAGTCTGGAAACGCTTATTTTCTGTCAAAACTATCAATTTTTTGTCAAAAAAATTATACGTGTATAATAGCTATAAAATTCCACAACAAATCGAATATAAATTAATTGTTTATACTTACGAGATAAACATAGTAACAATTTTTTTTAATGGAAACCTACCACAATTTTTTTCTAGACGATTGTTCCTGTGCAATTTTTTTTTTGTAAACCTAACACTTTTTATTAAAAAAATGTTTGACTTACAAGTATTAAAGATTTTTTCTTTAATAAACTAATAAATTGATGAATGTTTAAAGGTTGTAAAGAAACGATGCCAAAATATTTTTTATTTTAATTAATTGTTTAAACGTACCATCCCTTAGCCGGTGGAAGAAAGTTTTGACAACAGATAAAGTTTATACTCGTAATTTTTTTAACATAAATTGTAACAGTTTTCTGTACATTTATGCATGAACATATCTTTATAAAACAATAAATAAAAAGCCGTTTTATTTAAGAAAAAAATATTAATAGTATGGTAATCTCAAAAGTTTAAACAATTTTTCTCTTTAACATATTTTATAATCGGATCTTTTTTCTTAAACTGTCACTGAAATTTTTAATCAGAAATTTGTGATTTGAGGAAAATATGCACAAATATGCAATATTCCCTAAAATATGCACCAAGTTTAACTTTTATCTGAACACTTTTGCCGTAGAATCAACCACTGTGGAGTTATTTTGGATTTTCGTACCTTTCATCCAAGATGGCGACTCGAGCGAATTTTTTGTCAAGGCCTAGACTTTAACAACATATTAAAAAATTACTACTAGCCCAGCTGTTGTAGGGCAAAACTCCCTATCGAATGGACTATTTAAATTGTCTCTAAACTGTTTTTAGGTAATGCAATCGATGGCAAGGGACCTATCAACACCAAACAACGCTTCCGTGTTGGCATCAAAGCACCAGGAATTATTCCTAGAACTTCAGTCAGGGAGCCAATGCAAACTGGTATTAAAGCTGTAGATTCTCTCGTTCCTATTGGTCGTGGTCAACGTGAATTGATCATTGGTGATCGTCAAACCGGGTACGATAACTCACTCATTCAATTATGAATAATTTACGTTTTAATTATAGTAAAACTGCACTCGCTATCGACACGATCATCAATCAAAAACGTTTTAATGACGCCGACGATGAGAAGAAAAAGTTGTACTGCATCTATGTCGCTATTGGTCAAAAAAGATCAACAGTTGCTCAAATTTTGAAGCGATTGACTGATACTGGAGCCATCAATTATACAATTATTGTCTCAGCTACAGCGTCCGATGCTGCACCTTTGCAATACTTGGCACCTTATTCAGGCTGTGCCATGGGTGAATATTTCCGTGACAATGGCAAACATGCCCTCATTATCTACGACGATTTGTCCAAACAAGCCGTAGCTTATCGTCAAGTATGTTGAAACACTAATCACACAATTATTATTATTAATTGTAATAATTTGTATAGATGTCGCTGTTGTTGCGTCGTCCTCCAGGTCGTGAGGCCTACCCCGGCGACGTCTTCTATCTCCACTCCCGTCTATTGGAGCGTGCCGCAAAAATGTCTGATGCCCATGGTGGCGGCTCTTTGACCGCTTTGCCCGTCATTGAAACACAAGCCGGTGACGTGTCTGCTTACATTCCCACCAATGTGATTTCCATCACCGATGGTCAGATCTTCTTGGAGACGGAATTGTTCTACAAGGGCATCCGTCCTGCGATCAATGTCGGTTTGTCTGTATCTCGTGTCGGATCGGCGGCTCAAACCAAAGCCATGAAACAAGTCGCCGGTTCAATGAAACTGGAATTGGCCCAATACCGAGAAGTGGCTGCGTTTGCACAGTTTGGCTCCGATTTAGATGCCGCCACTCAACAACTATTAAATAGAGGCGTGAGGTTGACGGAATTGTTGAAGCAAAGACAGTATGTGCCAATGGCTATTGAAGAACAAGTTGCTGTTATTTATTGCGGCGTTAGAGGACATCTTGATAAATTGGATCCTGCGAAAATTACCGTTTTCGAAAAGGAGTTCTCACAACATGTTAAGTGAGTGGAAAATACAAATACAAAGTACATTTTAATATCTCTAATTGTTTTCAGAACAAATCATCAAGCTATTCTTCAAAGTATCGCTAAAGAAGGCAAAATTACAGACGAAACTGATGCCCAATTGAAGAAGATTGTTGTTGATTTCATTTCAACCTTCTCTGGTTAAACATCATGTAATTAAGTCATTATTTATTTCTAGTTGATACATCTATAAATTGTCAACTAAAAATAAACCGTTGAGCCGTCTTAGATTAGGTCCGCCATAGTTTTAACACTCCTGTGAATTGTATAAGTAAAAAATTGCAATTAAGTATCTTGATGGTTAACGGCATTTTGTTTTTAATATCATTTGTCACAATAAACGTTAAACTGTGTCGTTTTGATTTCTTTTTCCCAAAAGTTAAATCACTATTTAGTTTCAGTGTTGCTTTTATAACAGGTTTAATTAAAAAGAATGACGTTGTACTTTTATCAGTGCAATACTGTTATCCAAATTCGATAATTACGTCTTATATGTACAGGGTGTCCCAAGTGTTAAGGCCAGCGTAAAAAAAAATTCTAATTGATTAAAAAAGAATTTTGATGGTGTAAAGGATAATGTTTTGATATTGTACAAAATTTTTATGGCAAATTTTTGGAGAAAAAAAAATTCAATTAACGAATAGTTTCTACATGATAAAATTCTTAGATTTTTTTGCGTGGTTTTTGTGAAAATAGAATAATGATAAAGTAGATAGGTTTTAAATAATTAACATTTTAATACTGAAAATCTGAAACTTGGAATAATTTATGAGGGGGTTTGCGGTAATTAGTGATTGAATTTCTTGACACATTTATGACGTCATGCCAAATTTGGCCATAAATTACTAGAATTCGCAATTTCCAATATTAAAATGTTAATTACTCAAGATTCATCAACTATTACATTATTCAATTTTCAGTTGGCATTAAGAAAAATCAAAGAATTTTATCATGAAGAAAAAATTCCAATGAATAATTTTTTTTAGTCAATTACAAAAACTTGGTACACCCTGTACAGTTGTATTTCCCGGATTTAGAATAGAAACGCAACCAACAAATACCAACATAAGAAAAACAAACAACTCAAAGCTTTATCAACATTTATTTATAACGGTACCATTACTTTTAATTTTTCATAAAGAACTTTGGACTTTTGCCCGTGTCCTGTGTACCTTGCAATAATCAGACAAGCTCTGTTATAAAACCATCTAGATTTTAAATCGTGTTTAGTACAATTAAGAAATTCCAGTAGAGATGACTGCTTTAGTTAAAGGTACTATTAATTTAGGTCGCGTAATAAAAGTAAAAAATAATAATTTTAGGTGTGGTAATTGTCGCAGCCAAACGTACCCCTTTCGGTACTTATGGTGGCAAATTCACAAAAACCTCAGCTGTGGAACTCCAAACCGTTGCAGCAAAAGCAGCCCTAGCTTCTGGAAATGTAAAACCGGAATTAATCGATACGGTAGTCGTCGGTAACGTATTGACCGTGAGTAGCACCTTTATCCAAATTCAATAAATAAAACTATAATATTTTCAAGAATTCTTCATCCGATGGTGCTTTTATTCCACGACATACAGCCCTGAAATGCGGGATTCCACAAGAGCGACCTGCTTTTCTCGTCAATCGACTTTGCGGTTCAGGCTTTCAGTCAATCGTCAACGGAGTTCAGGATATTTTAATAGGGGCTGCTGAAATTTCATTGACTGGAGGCACAGACAACATGTCCCAAACCCCACACACTGCCAGAAATGTCCGATTTGGGGTCCCCTTAGGGCAAGACATCGTTTTGGAAGACTCCTTGTGGATCGGTTTGACCGATTCTTACTGCAAAATGCCGATGGCTCTCACAGCTGAAAAATTGGGGGCACAGTTTAATATCACACGCGACGAAGTTGATGAATTTGCTTTGAGATCGCAACAATTATGGAAAGCTGGTGCGTCACTCTCATTTTATTTATTTACTTCTATGTTACCTATTTTTAATTATTATAGCTCAAGACGGTGGGCGATTTAAAGAAGAAATTGCTCCTGTTCCCATCAAGGTGAAAAAAGAAACCGTCAATCTAGAAGTTGATGAACATCCACGCCCTCAAACCACTTTAGAAGGCCTCAAAAAACTCCCAACTTTGTTTAAACAAAATGGATTGGTCACTGCAGGCTCGGCATCTGTTAGTTACATTTTTTTTTTTAAATTCGCACTATATTTAAATGAAATTCTTAGGGTATTTGTGACGGTGCTGGTGCCGTTATTGTGGCTAGTGAACAAGCAGCAAGTAAACACAATCTAACACCACTAGCACGAATTGTGGCCTATTCTGTCGTTGGTGTTGACCCCACAATCATGGGCATAGGTCCAGCTCCAGCTATCCGAAATGTGCTTAAAGCTAGTGGAAAAACTCTCGATGACATTGATTTAATTGAAGTGAGTTTGACTACAAAATTGTCGGAATTCTTGATTTATTTATCTATATCTAGATCAACGAGGCTTTCGCGGCACAAACACTTGCATGTGCTAAAGATTTAAAACTGGACACTAATAAATTGAATGTTGATGGTGGAGCAATTGCTCTTGGACATCCTTTGGGTGCTTCTGGGGCTAGAATTACTGCCCATTTGGTACACGAATTGAGGTATGTTTACCTACTTTATTTCATTAAATAATTTTAAATTGTTATAGGAGAAGGAAAGCCAAATTTGGAATTGGATCAGCATGTATTGGAGGTGGTCAAGGTATCGCTGTCATGATTGAAGCTTTGTGATTATCAAATTATTGTATAAGATTAAGGCAAAAACATTATCTTTTTATTTGTACATTTTATAATACGTATTTTTATCAAAACTGGAATTAAAATTATTGTGTTTGGCAAAAATGAGTCATAAAAAATATTTATTGAAGTAATTTGGAATGCGCTACAAAAACAAGTGGATACTATTGACTAATAATCCCATAAGTCAAGTATCACAGCTTAACGGTGGTAGAATAACAAAACTTCAAACTAAGAATTTAACTGAACGTCCAAAAACAAAAACAAAACTTTATAATTCATAGAGTGATAAACATTTTAAACTAAACCTAGGAACATAACAAAACTTATATTATATAAATGTCACACAATCGGACAAAACGTGAGTAATGTCTTACCAGACCTCTTCTTCCTCAACGGCAACAGTAGAAGTAAAATCTTGTCCATGACCAAAGTTATCCCCGCGAATATCACGGCCTCCAAATTGGTCACCAGATCCTCCATAACTTTTACTCCCCAACCATTCCGGTATTTCTTGTTTAGCTTGCGAGAGTATTTTCGCAAGATCAGAGGCGAGATTACGATCCTGATCTTCATCAAAAAAGCTCGTAGCTTTACCTTTATTTCCAACACGGCCAGTTCTTCCTATTCTATGTACGTATTCATCAATGGATTTAGGTAAATCGTAATTAATAACATGTTGGACGTCTTTAATATCAAGACCTCTGGCTGCAACTCCAGTAGCAACGAGAACTTTTCTATTACCAGTCTTGAAATCGAGTAAGGCTTGTTCTCTTTCGCTTTGATAACGATCGCCGTGAATGCTAGTAGATTGAATATTTTGCTCGCTAAGAAAAGTCGCCAAGAAATCAGCGTTTCGTTTAGTTTCCACAAAGATGAGAGTACGTTCGTTTGGTGATTTTTCCAAAATCGAGACGAGTTTCGATCTTTTGTCAAACTTGCTCACTTGAAAGAATTTCTGTTCAACATCGGTGCATGCACTTCCGACGATTCCCACGGCGATAAAGATGTAGTTGTGCAAGAATTTCACTGCAAGTTGTTGAACTTCTTCGGGAAATGTAGCCGAAAACATCAAAGTTTGACGTTCACCCTGCATTTTAATAAATTTTAAATGGCATTTTTGCGATTATGTTAGAGCTGTCTGACACGAAACTAATTTCAGTACTGGATTTAGTAATTTTAGTTAGCTTGAATGCAAGAAAATAGCTTGCTAAAACTGCGCATTAACAAAAAGCGTAAATTTAAAATATTCGAATGTAAAAACAGAAATATTATAACTAAGACGCTTTACGAGCTTTTGTCTAAAACTAGAAAAATGTTCAAGGGTAATTTTTTGAAATCTTGTTTATGCTACCACGCCCTGTTATCAAAAGAATCGTATTAAGTCCCCCACAATATTATAAATTTTAAAAATCAACAATTTATTGCATAAAAACTGTTATTATTTGTTATTGTTTTCAAATCAATAGTTTATCTTCAAAATGCATTTTCTATTAATATCTAATTTTTAATTTAATGAACCGATTTTGTAATATAAAGAGTAATATTGCAGAATTTGTCAACTAAAATATGAAAAATACAGGATGTTCCGTTTTTATTGGTACAAATTTAAACAGGTGATAGGACATTCAATTCTAAGACAAAAGTTTCCTATAAACATGTATCGAAAAATGCTTGGTAAGGGAGCTACACCCCCTGGAAGGGGGCTAATATGTTTTTGCTAATATTTCAGAAACCATTTAAGATAAAATTACAAAATTTGGTACAGATGATAATCTTTATTCACCTAAACGAATTCAAACATCAAATGTCGAAATTTTTAATCAGGGGCGTATGAAACTGGGGGAGTTTAAGGTCAAAAAATACCCTATTTATTTTGGCTTTAGTTTCTCGGTACTTTCAGCAACAAAATCTTAAGTTCGATAGTTTATCACAGAAAAGTCTCTCTTGTGTCGATACGACTTATTGTTTTTGAATAAAATTAATTTAAAATTTATGTTACACACCAAGACAACTTTCAAATAAATCAGAATTTACAGAATAATAAAAGCAAGAAATTCATATTTTTTAATCAACCTCAACTAATTAACATTACATTACAGTAACAATAATAACATTAATTAAATGAATTTGCCTAAATCTAAAGGAGTTGTTCAAAGTGACCACCATTTTGGTCAATGCATAATTAAAGAAACTAGAGCCAAAATAGATAAGGTATTTTTTACCCTAAACCCCACCAGTTTCGGACACCCCTGATTAGAAATTTCGACATTTGATGTTTGAATTCGTTTAGGTGTACAAAGATTATCACCTGTACCAAATTTTGTAATTTTATCTTAAATGGTTTCTGAAATATTATCAAAAACCTATTAGCCCCCTTTCAGGGGGTGTAGCTCCCTTACCAAGCATTTTTTCGATACATGTTTATAGGAAACTTTTGTCTTAGAATTGAATCACCTGTTTAAATTTGTAACAATAAAAACGGAACACCCGTATAAATGTTTAAAAATCAACAATTTATTGCAGAAAATTGTTATTATTTGTTATTGTTTTCAAATCAATAGTTTATCTTCTAAATGCATTTTCTCTTAATTATTTACTTTAATATCTAATTTTTAATTTAATGAACCGATTTTGTAATATAAAGAGTAATATTGCAGAATTAGTCAACTAAAATATGAAAAATGTAACAAAGAATAAATATAACAAATATCACAAATTTTAAAGTAATGCTGGTGGTGAATTAACTAACGTCCCTCAACATTTTTTAAATAGTTTCCTTCATATACACTCGAAAATATTTATTTTTTAAAGCTAACTAATGTAGTTTATTTAATACCAGACATTAAACTGCAATTCCATTTAGCCTATTTCAACGTTCAAAAACGGTTGGAGATAAAAATCTCTTGAAAGAAAATTTTATTCTCTACAACCCCTTGATTGTATTTGTTGTAAATCTAACGTTTTTCAATCTTTTTAATTAAAGAGAATTATTCGTAAATGTTAAACTTGGCTTTAAATTTTATATAACTCATTAAAGAATACTTTCAGATGAAATATCTGTAATATTTTTCAGTACTGAAATTAGTCTCGTGTCAGACAGCTCTTAAACTTACAGTAGCAGGCATTGATTGATGACTTAGCATTTCTTCAACATCGCCGAGAAAACCCATATCCAACATCCTATCTGCTTCATCAAGAACAAAGTATTGAAGAGAATTAAAAGACACGTTTCCGCGATTTACAAAATCCTTTAGTCTACCAGGTGTAGCAACCAAGATGTGACAACCACCCTAAAAAAAAAAATATAAACCATCATAATAATTTGAATAAGAAAAGTTACCAAAATACGGCCACGTTGATGATTCGTGGAAGTTCCACCATAAATAACGGCAACTTTCACAGTAGAATTATAAGCAAATTTCTTTCCTTGTTCGGCTATCTGAATTGCCAATTCTCTTGTAGGTGACATTATCACAACTACAGGTTGTGCACAATTATTTTCAGTGTTTGCGGGATTCTTATCACTTAATAGTTTATGAATAATTGGTAACATAAAAGCTGCAGTTTTTCCCGAACCAGTTTGAGCACAACTCATAAGATCACGACCGCTTAAAATAACAGGAATAGCATATTTTTGAATAGCCGTAGGCTTCGTATATCCAGATTTTTTCACATTATCTAACAGGTGAGGTCTCAAACCCGAACATTCAAACGAAGCTATTGGTTCTGGAGGATTATTTCCAGTTACCTAATTAGAAAAACAAAATAAAAAAAACCTAAGATAAAAACAAAACAAAAATACCTTCACTTCAATTTCATCCAGCTTCATAAAATTGACTCCTGTGGTAATTCCACTGGTAAACAAGTCTTCAACATTTTCTATTTCAGGTGGAACATAAAATTCCCTCTTTTTCTCTTCGCCCCCACCATCGCCTCGACCTCCACGTTCTCCCCCATTTTCGAAATCATTGCGAAAACCCCCTCGACCTCCACCACGGCCGCCCCCTCTTCCGCGACCGCCGCGGCCTCCACGACCGCCTCGACCTCTGCCGCCCTCTGAATCCTCGTTAGATGCCCAAGAAAAACCACCCCCGGAATCCCCCCATTCATCGTCTTTTTTCCCCCCATTTGTATAGCCTAAATTGTAAAAATGAGGTTAAGTCTTTTTGGAACAAAATACTTGCAGTTATCATTACCGTCCCCCCACAAGTCATTGTTTTGCTCAGCAGGAACAAAGCCACGACCAGAAGAGAACTTACAACCCCCTTCGGAGACTACGCCACCTCTTTGTTCATTCATCTAACAAATACAAAATTAACAATTTTGAGTAAATTATTAAAGAAGTGATTTACCGCTGGAGCTGAACTGCTCGGCGAATCCCAATCATCATCGTCACACATTTTGCTTGCAAATTAAACTGAAATTGAAAAAAAAATAATCATCAAGAACAAAGTGAAAAAAAATCTTGAATAAGCACAAAAACTGTTTCATACAAGTTATTGGTTTTTACTAAATTGTTTTAGAGAATGCAAGAAAGAACGCAAATAAATCGTTACCTGCTCGAAATTAAAAACGAATGAAAATTTTTAACAAGCTTGCAAGTTTTTCAACAAGCATGGATTCCGCAGTCGTCTGGTGACCTTGAAATTTTGCCGGTAAAATGTGACAACTGAGAAAATCTAAAGACCCTAAAAATTTGAATTCACCACCAGTTTTTTTTAACTTAAAAAATTTCGGCAGTTTTATAAGATCGCCCCCTTTTTTGGTTATATAATGTTATATTTTCCACCAAAAATAGCTTATCGCCTTCAAAGTCGCAAGTTTAATGTCAAAACTAGTTAAAAGATTAAAAGTTCATGAAAATAATGATGTAACAAATTGTAAATTATTCTTTATCAAACGATAAAAATGTATAAATTTCGGGAAAACAAGTTCAAACATTTAGTCGAACTGCCACTACAAAATGGTAATTAAAAATACATATTTTGATATCCGTTAAAATCTTTGTTTTTTTTTTTTTTCAAAAAAAGAAACTTCCATTGGCCTTATTTCTGCTAACTTGGACACTTTGTGAAGGTGCCTCATCCTGGAGCCGCTCCTGGCATCGCACCTGGAACACAGTCCCTCAACCCTCTCAAAGTAGCTCATGGTCAAGATCCTGGAATACTCAACAAAGTTCGTCAGTACCTCAAACCAAGTCTAGCAATAATAAGGAAGTCCTAAGTGGAGATAACTGTTCTGGCGATTGCAATACATCTATACAAACATGCCCTTCGTGCATTAATACGTGCAGTTCTAGCTGCGCCTCCAATTTGCAGTGTTTGAAAGAATGTCTCAATCAATGCAATTGCGAAAATCCAGAATTAGTTCCCGAACCGGAAACTCCATGTTGTCAAATTTTACATCCCCCAACTTGCTTCAGTGACGATTACGGCAACAATCAATGCATCATAAGAAGACATAAAGAATGCTCCTCGAAAATGTGTACTTCCCCAGTGGTTTCCATACAACCGGGAGGAAATTCAAGAGGGTGTCATTATATTAACAATTATCCTTATGTGTATTGTGGCAACTACGAGCGACATGGTACGATTAGAGACCATTTTTGAGATTTTTACTAGTTAATTTGTTTATTACAGATTGTGGCCAATGTTATTCGTGTGAGGGAAGTTGGAATCCGCAACAGTGTTCAAAAACAAGCGGTTGTACGGAAGGGTGTCGTAAAACAATGTAAAACTATTGTAGTAACACTTTTATTTGAAATAAATTTAAATTTCGCGCGCTATTAGCGCTGCCATGCAACCAAATTGACAGATGTTTGTTTATTTTCCTTTACGATTTTCCTCGCTTTTCCTTGTGCTTTTCCCGCTTTCGATGGCGTCATTGAAACTGCTTTCCACCGAATTCGAAGTCTATGGCAGAGTTCAAGGTAATTCCTTATCACTTTAACTGTAAAAATTATAAGAACGTGTTATGTAATTTTCAAGGTGTATTTTTCCGAAAGGTACGTTCAACTAACCAAATTAAATGTTTTAATTAATCATAGAACAATTAGTATACACAACAAGAGGCCACCCGATTGGGGCTCAAAGGATGGTGCATGAACACCAATGAAGGTACTGTGAAAGGTGTCCTAGAAGGTGATGCAAATAAAGTTGCTGATATGTAAGTGAATGCCTTTTTCACCTTGTATTTTTTATGGAAATTGTAGGAAAATGTGGCTCAAAACAAAGGGAAGTCCACAGTGTAGGATTGACAAAGCCGAATTCAAGAATGAAAAAGAGATTCAAAACTTTACTTTTGATGATTTCAAAATCAAGCGATAATTTGTGAAGTGAATGTATTTATTTTACAAGCGTTTATGTAATAATATTTATTTCCCAAAGATGTGTACGTGTATTGTTGGTTGCAAATATTAAAAATAATAGCTTTTCAAAAAACGAAAGAATTTTTAATCCAGTTCATCATGATTAATTCATAGAAAATAACAGGTAAATGTGTGTGGACGTATTTACGAAAAACAAAGTAACGGAATTTACATTTTGTAAGAATAAAGATTAATATTTATTGGGTATCTTTACTACATTTGTCGCTTTTAAAACGATGAATAAATAGGTACCTACATTTTAACGGTAAGTATATGCAAACCGTTAAAAATTTATTATTATTATTAAAAAACTGCTAGCTATTTTTAATTAACTTTCAAACAACAACAATTTTGAACGTGTTAAACATGACTATCACATAAACATTTATTCCATTAAAGCAATTCTCGACGAGTTAAAACAATGCCACAACAATGAATAACCAAGTTTCAAGTCGTTTTGACATTTTTCAGTGTCATTCAAACGTAAAAAAATGGGAATTACATGAATTATAGTGATTAAACCCGATTAATGTAAGTATTAAAGATTTGTGTGGTAACTTTCAATTGCCACGTCTTGAAATCAATGAGTTTTTAATGGTGATATAACAAAATGGTATTTGTGCGATTTAGTTTGTGTAAAATTATTGCGGTGGCCTTCAGGTAAAATGCAGATAAACAATTTGTCATAAAAAACAGCGTAATTTATGCTTGGTTGTAATTTAAATTGAGAAAAGCTAATCGCATAATATATCGAGTATTGAAAAAATTGTGAAAGTAATGCAGAAATGGGAGAAAATGTTTCCTTGAGTCAATCTACAATGTGCAAGCGATGATGATGTAATTTGCGAGTGCCGTGGTTTCAAATTGAAAAATAATCAAAGGTTTGAATTGTTTTTTTAATCACCCATTTTGGAGTATCTAACTATGTCTTATTTCGTTGTTTTTCCCACTTATCTCAATTGATAAGATAAATTTACGAGTAGTTCCCATTTTTGAGTATTTATCTTTTCGTTCAACCACCAATACCACCCATCCCTGGTATCTATTTATATGTAAAAGGTTGAACCGCCAGAAATAAGATACCGCTTATCTGAGGTTTAACTTCCATTGAAAAAATTACAAGCGATAGTCTAGCAATGTTTTCACACACCACTACCATGAAAAAATCCAATAATTAAACAATCATCAAAATGTTGTGTTGTGTAAAAGTTTAGCAAATTGAATAAAACTGAGCATTTAGTGTGTTTAAATTTCAGATGGACAATCCCAGTTTTCGTAAAGATGGTGACAGAAAGGATAAAGGTATAGAATTATCGGTTTCAAGAGCAAATGGGGGTGGTGCTTCAGCGAGCCAAAATTTAGTCACTTGTACACCGGAAGTATGCAGAACGGCTAGACAACGATATCAAGCCCCGGATCTTGCCGGTAGTCCTTGGCACATCAAAAAGACTATATTTCTCGTCGGAATAATAGTGCTTTTGATTATCTGGATAATCGTTTTTACCACTTTAAATCAATTTAAACTGTTGTGATCGTATGTAGTTTGATAAGTGAAGAAACAACAAAAAATCCATATTTTTTTTGTGCTAATTTAGGTGCAATAATGAATATATTCTTATTAGTTGTTGTGTTGTTGAATTATTTATAACCGGAATTAAATAACTCTCAAGGTAACCCACCACAAGTGGGTAAAACAAAACAACAACGAAATCACTCTCCAATCAGATTGTTATCAAACTTTTATCTATATGTTTCCAACGTTTAAACAATGAACACCAGTACGGAAATTTTAACAAAACGCCATACCGAGGTAAGAATTTTAATTTGTTTTAATATATATCAATTTGTGTTGTCGACAGGTGATGGCGGAGCCTTCGCCGGGGGCTTCCGTGAGGAAACCACAAGTCCAGCAAGTTATAGTTGGGTGGGACAGACAGAAGTCGTTCACATTTCTTGGACTTTCACTCTGTTTCGTTGTTTGGGCCTGCGTGTATTTCCCCTTGATGTCATAACAAACACACTTTCACTTGTAAATATAAGAAAATCTGTTTTAATAAAATGTATTGTGGGTTGACTGTAAGTTTAATTTGCACATCATCTCCTCCAAGGTTAAATTATTGAATCAAATTAGACCAAAAATGATATGAAATATTTTAATGTGTTTTGGAAGACATGTCGTTCTTTTATAACGCGACCCCGTTTTTATTTGTGGCCGTTTTAATAATTATTGAACAAGTTTATTGTAAGTACAAAATAGAAATAAGATTTGTTGGTTCATACCTATTTAGCCAAAATAATCCTTTATCGCTGTTAGATAAACATTTCATTATAAACTTTTCCAAAAATATGTTTTTTTAACCCAACATTTTGACATTTAATAATAAATGACATGAGATCTAAAATGGCGCTTAATTCAAATTTCAAAATATTTTTCAGTCCTATCATAAAATCTTTTCCATTTTTACAAAAAACAATTATTAATATGTATTGATTCATACTTATTTTGCCAAAATAATGCTTTATCACTGTTAGAAAAACCACAAATGCACATTTCGTTAAAAGTTCTAACCCAACATTTTTGACATTAATGACAATCAAAGTAGCGCTTAATTCAAATTTCTAAATAATTTTCATTGTTATAAAAAATCAGGTAGAGACGCATCTTCATTGACTGATAATTTGCCTAAATTACCTTTATGGGATGTTAAAAATTCAACTCAGTGGCCAAGTTTGGGTCAACCAAGCAACCCATCATGGGTCAGACCGAATACTCGTCAACGTCCCATCAATAATAATTTTAACACAGGGACGCGTCGCCAAGAACCCCAATCAACAAATGAAGTGACTGATGATGAACTAAGAGATTTTGCTGAAACATTGTTATTAAAAGATGTAAACAATGCTGCTAAATATGTAACAATCAATTTGCAGAGTAAAACTACCTCGAGTTCGAATCGAGATGCAGCACCTTTGCCGTAAGTAACACCACAACAAAGTTTTTTATACATTTTTTTTATTATAGACTTTTGTCAATTGAAAAAGAAGCTTTTAAAATAGCATCGATTGAAAAAACGCTACTTTTGCACGACAATTACATCGTCGAAAGTAACATGAACGAATATTCCAGTCCTCAAGAAAAAAATGAGGAAAATTCGCTTCTGGATACGATTTTAACCACGCCAGTAATGCAAGAAACTCGCAATTTTCTCATCGAGACCAATAAAATCGGGCGAGATCCAAACGAATTTAGGAAAATTTTACGCGAAATTTGGTTCGATATGTATGCTAGAGGCGGCGGTAAAATCGGTTCCAGTGGTTTCGAACACGTTTTTTTAGCAGAAATTAAAAAGAATCAAGTTTCGGGTTTGCACAATTGGCTTTATTTCGATCAAGAAGAGCGAAATAATCAGGCCAATTATTTGGGATACATGAAAAAAATTGACCTTGGCAATGTGAGACAATTTTTCTTTGTTATTATTATTTTATAGATTTTGTTTTTGCAGAAAGGGGCAATTTTGAAATACCATTTCACCTTTCACGGCATTGATAAGCCAGTTGGATCGATGTTTATTGGGACAAGTCCCGAATTTGAAATGGCTTTGTATACGACATGTTTTTTGCTAAGAGCTGACCGAATTTGTCCTTTGAAGTTGAATGGAAATAGATTTGTTATAAGGACTTTTACGTATAGGTATAGGGGGAAAAATTTGATCGGGAGTGCCTTCCCTGACATTTGATCTATATTTATTACCATCATCGAGTGTATTTGCAATTAGAGATAAAAATTGTTACAACATTCACAAATAAATAAGATAAAACAATAATCCCGTGTTTTATTTTTAATTTTCCTTCGAGAAAAATACTTAAAACTCACACTTACAAATATATGTAATAGTCGTAAATGCGTTTTTGTCACTCTTATATTAAATTATTTTAAATTAAATGACCTTGCACACATTTATTTACCGTTACCAACAATTGTCAAAACGCGATAAACTCTCTGTTATGAATAATGTAATAGTTTTGAAACAAACAGATAAAAATCCTGTATCTTTGTGATAAATATACACACATCTTGGCTTGAGGTCAGTAACAAGTTCAAGATTTAGAACGCTAGTGCTAATTGTCTTGGTATTAGAAAATGTACTTAAAATTGTGCAAAACAAATTTACTCCAAAACGTCCGAAAACAATTTCGAAATTATCACAGCGATAATGTCTTCGGTTTTAAGCGAAAAAACAAACCTGTTTATAATGGTAAGTAATTATTGTTAAAAAACTCATCCCTAAAAAATTTCCCCAAGCATCCGACCAAGTATTAAAAACTCAATGCGACCAAAGCAATTTCTTCCGCCTTGTCACCGCTTTTCGTCAACATGCCCACAAAACCGCCGACGTAAATCCGGTCACTCTGACTCGCGAAATAACAATTTCCCCGGATTTGGACCCGAAACGCTACTGCCTCGAAACCGACACCCAAGTAAAATTCACCGGAATTTTAAACACTACGAAATCGGAAGGCACCGTCGCCGAAGCTGTGGATTTCCTTCGTCACGTCTACGGCAAAAACATTGCTGTCGAATTCACCCACTTGGAAAATCCGGAAGAGATTGATTGGTTTTGTAACCGGATCGAACAACTCGTCCCGGAAGAAACCAACACTGAAACCAAACTCCGACTTGGGACTGAATTACTCCGATCTCAAAACTTTGATAATTTCCTCGCTAATAAATTCACGGGAGTGAAGCGATATGGGGGCGAAGGGGCTGAAAGTATGATGGGGTTTTTTAGCGAGTTTTTTCGACTCGCTGCAGAGGATAACATCGAACAATTGGTGGTGGCTATGCCTCATAGGGGACGCTTGAATCTTCTCACCGGAATGCTTAATTTTCCTCCGGTGAAAATGTTTGCTAAATTAAAAGGAAAAAGCAACTTTCCGGATAAGTATCAAGTGACTGGAGATGTTTTGAGCCATTTTGGTAGGTATAATCGTTTTCATATTAATCTGCATCGAAAAGGATCATTTTAAGATGGCAACCATGCGAAAATTCAAACAATCCTAACCTCAATCTTACTTAAAAATTATTTTTTCAAATAAATGTTTAAAGAAAAATAATTAAAATTAACATAGGGTAACAAACATAAAAGATTTTTGTCATTATTGATGTTCTGAATGACAATAATGACACTTTTTGTGTAAATCGGCCTTTAAATTAAAGATGTATTTAGACTTCTACAACCTACTTGATGCACATTAATATGAAAAAGTGTCTAAAGTCCATTTTTTTAACAATTGTCATTGTCAAAATTCCCTCAATTAAAATCTCCCTAGTCCCTAGATTAGGTTTGACATTATGTTCAGTGTTGCCAGCTCAAAATAATTAAATTCACCCGATATTTACGTTTTTTACTTGAAAAACATGCTAAAACACTTGATGAAGGCAAAAATAATGACTTGTTTTTTTCGTTTGTTTTAGTAAAATCCTGCAATTAACACCATTTTGTATTTTTCGTCTTATTTTTTGAGAAATTTTCACTCAAAAAGAGCTAAATCGAATGAAACAAACGAAATAACATCAATTCAGATTTATTTTTATTTGTGTTTAAGCAAGTTTTGACAATATCCTGCAAAATAAATTAGTCTCTGGTTCAAAAACGAACTAAATCAAGCGAAACACGCTAAATTTCAATCTAATTCAGTCAAAAAAACGTGCTGAAACATTCTAAAAATGCAAAAATAACACTAGTTTTAGTCTAATTTGATAAATTTTCAATTTGTTTTTAACGAAATTTGGCAAAATAATTCTGTTTCTGGCTAAAAACTTACTAAAACGCTCGGAAATGAACTAAATAATGTACTTTTTCACCCATTTTAGCGATTTATTTACCTTGTTGAGTGAAATATCATTTATAAAAACAAAACTATTTCTAGATTTTTCAACTTGTTTTTGAGAAAATTTAGCATTTGAGTTTCTACATGGCTAAAAAACGTGAAAAATGCCCAAAAAGCTAGTGTCATGATTTTTGACTGAATTTATTAAAGTCGCGGTCAATTCTTAGTGGCCCTGTGTAAATTTGTAAAAATTTGAGTTGTGTAAATCCTACTTTAAACATCCAATTGTTTATTTAGTGACATTTCTATCAAAAATGACAATTCTGAAAAAGTCGGGTTAGGTCAGGTCACAAATAAAATCTACTGCGTCTGTCACAATTGTTGACACAATTTAGTTATTTCTGCTACCAACATAGACACAACCCACACACTAGCGGTGGCGGGCTAGGGGGTGCCAACTTTGCAATAAATTAAATGGCCAGTATGAATAGATTAAAAAAAAATATTTCAAAATACATTAATTTACTGCTGGAATTACAGTCACGATTCTAAAAAAATCATCAAAAATTAGAATTTTTACAAAAGTTTTCAAACTAGTACAGTTGATATTAAATTGTAAAGCATGCTTTAAGACTGTTAACCTTATTTTTAGCTACTGTCAATCATAGTTGACAAGTTGTATGTACGTATTTTTGATAGGAAATTATAGTAGCTGTCATTAATTTGAAATTTGAAAGTGAAAACCAAAGTATTTTGTCTCCAACTGTATAAAAATCACCAGATCTGGTGAAATTTCATCAGACCTGGCAAGACTGTTCAAAGGTTTTCAGTAGCGTAAGCGCTTTCACAACAAAACGACTGACACACAATTGACATTTTACTTGCCAACATAACTAGAGGCTGATACCAACATAACATTTTGACAATTGTTTAAAAAAAAGGACTATATCCAAAATAAAACTAAATAAATGAAAAAAAAAAAATTGCAGTGTCTTCGACTGACTTGAAATTTGCTGATAATAAAAACCTTCACGTGACTCTATTATATAATCCTTCGCATTTGGAAGCTGTTAATCCTGTTTCAATGGGGAAAACTAGAGCCAAACAATTGGAAAATCGTGATGGGGATTATGGAGATAGACGATGGGGTGATAAAATAGTTAATTTACAAGTACATGGAGATGCTGCGATTACCGGTCAAGGGGTTAATCAAGAATGTTTGGCTTTAAGTGGAACCCCACATTATGAAATTGGTGGTTCTATTCATTTAATTGTTAATAATCAGTTGGGTTTTACGACACCAGCAGATCGGGGAAGATCATCAAGATATTGTACTGATTTAGCTAAAATGATTTCAGCACCGATTATTCACGTTAATGGAGATTTTCCTGAGGTTTGTACCTACAAGAAAAATATTCATTTTGAATCAAAATTTTTACAGATGGTTTTGAAAGCTACAAAACTAGCATTTGAATATCAACGCAAATTTCGAAAAGAAGTTTTTATCGATCTGAATTGTTATCGACAGTGGGGACACAATGAATTAGATGATCCGACTTTTACAAATCCGTCACTTTATGGAATTATCCGGTCTCGAGGGTAATTCCCCGACTAAAAAATGCAACTAAAACCATCAATTATAATTGTAGAACAGTCCCTGATCAATATACGAAAAAATTAATCGAAGAAGGAGTTTTAAATGAGGAAGAAAAAAACACAATAATAAAAGAGCACACGAAATGGCTCAATGAACATTTAAAAGCAGTCGAAACCTATAAACCAGACGTAAAAATAGTCACAACCGTCGTTTCAAACTAATTATTTTTTTCAGGATGTTTATTTTAAAAATCAATGGGAGGGTTTTTCACAAGCTGAAGAAACTATAACGAGATGGGACACCGGAATTCATCTTGATCTTCTCACATATATCGGAAGCAAATCAGTTCAATTTCCGGAACATTTCGTACGATTTTTTTTTCTCCCAAATAAAACAAAAAAAAAATAATTTTTAGAACGTCCATCCGACTCTTCTTAAAACCCATGTGAAAAATCGTCTTGCTCGAGTAGCCGAAGGTGTGAATATCGACTGGTCAACGGCAGAAACCCTCGCTCTCGGTTCATTATTATACGAGGGATATAATGTACGGATTAGCGGTCAGGATGTGGGAAGAGGTACTTTTTCGCACCGGCATGTTATGCTAGTTGACCAACAAACAAATCACATTTATATTCCCTTGAACAACTTGCACGAGAACCAAAACAGTTTTCTCGAAATTGCGAATAGTATTTTATCCGAAGAAGCTGTTCTAGGCTACGAGTACGGCATGAGTATAGAAAGTCCTAAAAATTTAATAATCTGGGAAGCCCAGTTTGGTGATTTTTTCAACGGGGCTCAAATTATCCTCGATACGTTTGTGTCAAATGGAGAAGTGAAATGGTTGTGGAGTAGTGGATTGGTTGTGCTTTTACCCCATGGGTATGATGGAGCCGGTCCTGAACACAGCTCAGCAAGAATTGAGAGATTTTTACAAATGACTGATTCAAAAGAAGACAAAGTTGACGGTGATAACGTTAATATGCAAGTTTGTCATCCAAGTACCCCAGCACAATATTTCCATTTACTACGAAGACAAGTATTACTTTAAGCACTTTTTCCCCCATTAAAAATAAGTTTTTCAGATGGTGCGTAATTTCAGAAAACCTTTGATTGTTATAGGCCCTAAAACACTTCTAAGACTGCCTGAAGCTACCTCGAATTTCGCCGACATGGCCCCCCAAACTACATTCCAACCAGTCATAAGTAAAAATTCAAAAATTCAAAACATCACCTGAAAAGCTGAAATTTTTAGCCGATAACACTCATGACCCGAAACAAATTCAAGTTATTTTGTTTACCTCAGGCAAACACTTTTATAATCTGGTATCTAAAAGACAGTCATTAGGTGTTAAAAATGTGGCAATCGTTCGACTGGAATCGTATTGTCCATTTCCAACTCTCGAATTACAACAGGAAGTGGCGAAATTTTCCAATGCTAAAATTTTCGTGTGGTGTCAAGAAGAGCCGCAAAATATGGGAGCTTGGAGTTTTGTGAAACCACGATTTGAGAATTTAGTTGGCAGAAAAGTGAGAAATGAAAAATGTTGATTTTTTTTTTGTTTAATTCATTTTCTAGATTCAATTCTGTGGTAGACCGACTCAAGCTGCTCCTGCTGTTGGTATTGGTGAATTGCACGACCTGCAAGTATCGGAAATCCTTAGTAAACCTTTTTCGTTTGAAATTTAAGTATCATTTCAATTAATTAGCCATATATTTTTTTTTTATATAATGTACACAGTACAATACAGTGCTAGCTATCTACGAAAAGACCTTGTCAGTTGTTCTATAAGCCTGACACTTAAGTAATACTTATCTAACTTAAATTTAGAATTAGTATAATTATAGAAAAGGACAGTATTTTACAAACATGATATACACAGACATCAGTCATATCAAAACATAAATATAAGTAAGGTTGTATTGAGTAGTTTTTAATTTACAAATCTGAGCGATTTTTATATAAAAAAATCAAAACCCTCTTCCACAAACAACTATAAATAAATCAATTGGAAAGAGTCACTCTTAAAAATAACTGGAATTCGTATAACTTTCGCCATCTATCTAAAAAAAATCACAATACCGTTCAAAAGTCATCGTTGCACCCAACGTTTTCACCCAACCGTGGCAAGAGTTAAATAAAGTTTTTTTTTCTTCACTATGTATACATCAGTCAACGTAAGAAAATGGTATAAAAAGAATTACACTATGTCTTACATAATATTAAACCTATGGGTATTTCTTTCGTCTACTTGATAAATGTGTAAATGTGAATATGGCACCAGTTTAAAAACTGCACTTTATTTATTGTACCTATACAATATATAACAGTACAGGCGTCCCACTTGGAATTTTTTTAAACCATCAACAGATTGGTCGGCCTGTTTTGAAATTGTGAAATCATATCTTGAAAGCTCTCGGTTAAATTATTGATTGCATTTTTGTAATTATATACAACGTACATACACATTTAACTTACACATTACTATCAAACAACCAATAATTGTCCTAAAAATCAAACGAAAATTTAAATACTGATTTTTTTTTACATTATTTGTCACACATGCAATAACGTTGTTTACTTTTTGTATAAACACAACTTTTTGTTATTATTCAAACATCCGCACAACACTCTGAAATCTCAACTTATTTTTCGCACAACCTTATTTACATCAGATATTATTTAAAGCTATATTCACTAATACAATATGGAGAAAACAAAAATTCATACAACAGTCATGAAGACCGAATATCTATTCTTGTATGCTAAACTAAATAAAATAAATAATTAAAAAATAATAACAGTAATTAACTTAAGAATAAACTTAAACATAAACAGCAATATTTTTTTCAAATTCTAACAAGTAAATCTGTACAAAAATCTTAATCATTATAATAATTATTATAAAAAAAAAACCTTAGAAATCAAATCATTAGTAGTGACTGACCAAACCGTGAAATAAATTAATCATATTGCTATAAAAAGTGGTGCATAATCCTTTCATTGTTTGAATAACCTCTTTGAGATTCAAGAAAATATAAATTAAAACAAATTACTTTTATTACCAATATCAAATTTTTAATAAATACAAAATAAAGAATGTATAAATTGTGCTGTTACCTTTGGTAAATAACAAAACACGATGATTTTTAAAAACAATCCTTAATTTCAGAAACAAAAACAAACAAAATTTTGGTCTTTGGAAGCGCCTGTGTTGATTGTCTAACTCTAAAAATGGTGTAAACTGCTGTAAATATATTGCTAAGCATTTTTTATAGGCTTACATCGAAACATGAATTTGTGCATTACAAAAAAAAAACACATTAAATATTTCGTCTGTTGGAAAATAAACACTGTTTATGAACACTTTCCTCGATTTTAAATAAATTAGTACGGCGATTAAACAATTAGAGAGACAACCTTTAGTTGACCATCAAAGTGTGAGATTCCATTGGAGCAGCCGAATCGTAGAGAGTATCCGTGTCTTGGGTTGGCTCTCCTTGCAATTGGCATTGATTTGTTAACGTACCAGCCCCACAATCGCAGAAAAATCTAATCAAAAAAAAAAAAAAAAAAAAAAAAGAGTTAAAATTTATTTTTTATAACTGTTGTAACTCTACCTGTCATGTCTAATAAATTCCACATCATGTCCTGCATGACATGTCTTGATGCAATTCACACAGATCGCATTTCTATCTGTCGTATTACAAGTCTGACATCTATAAAAATCGTGCATCGGAAACGACGTATAACTCGAAATCTTATAGAGACATTGTCCATTCGCCACAGCTTTTTCCACTGCATCCTGATTATTAAAAATCTTATTTCCTCTCACTATTGGTTGCACACCGCTTGCTAGACACAACCCCCCAAATCGATTATTAAAAATCTGATTAGATTCGAGCGTTGCCGTTGCATTATTCGTAATTTCAACACCGGCGGCCAATCCATCAAAAATCCGATTTCTTCTCAAAATCGGATGACTTTGTGTCGAAATCAAAACGCCAGCTTGTGCATTCCTAAATATATCATTCTCTTCTAAAATCCCTTTCCCACCGTTAAAAATACAAATTCCACCGTCGCGACCGTCAAAGATTTTATTACGTTTAAGTGTAGGATTCGAATCGGTTTTGATCCAAACTCCCGCCATGGCATTGTCGAAAATTTCGTTCTGTTCCAACAAACCAAGCCCTCCATTATATACTAAAACACCGCCGTTTTGTCCTCCCCAAATCTTATTTCCTCGAATCACCGGATTACTCCCGGTCCGGATTTGAACTCCCGAATATAAATGATTGAAAATGTCGTTATCTTCGAGTTTTCCATGACCGTTATCATAAAAATACACGCCGACTTGTTTGCCGGAATGAATTCGATTTCTTCTCAATACTGGTGAACTTCCCGTTGTTATCCACACTCCAGCCAATGTGTTTGCGTAAACTTCGTTTTCTTCGATTAAACCTTGACCTTTTTCGTGAACATAGATGCCTCCGTGTTGGCCGTGATGGATTTTATTGTGACGTACGATAGGGTCACTGTTAGTCCGTATTTGAATTCCGGCCAAAGCGTTACCGTAGATATTGTTATGTTCAATTAAACCGCGACCTTCTCCGAATATATAAACACCACCTTGATGACCATTATAGATTTCGTTACGACGTATCGTCGGATTACTATTTGAAGTAATCCAAACACCGGCGAAATTATTCGAATGAATTTTATTATCAATGAATTGACCGAGACCGTTTTCGTGAACGTAAATACCGCCAGTTTGGCCGTGATGAATCTCACATTGGACCACAGTGGGATTTGCGCCTGCTTTCACTTCAAAACCGGCAATTCGATTATTATGAATATCGTTGGCTTCGAAATAACCCTAAAAATACACCATAATAAAACACCCGAATTGTACACCCAGGGGAAAAAAACTATTCACCAATAGGAAAGCAGGTTAGGAAGTTGGTCCGGACCTGAAAAATGTCTTTTTGTGAAAATTACTTCAATGAGCATTAAATTGTGATTATAATAAACAAGCTTGCTCAAATTATCAAATTACAAATACATAAGTTTATTTAAGAAATGTATTTTGCAAGTATAGAGTATGTTCCCGGATTAAGTTTACAAGAGGAAAAAAATTTTTACCTTTGATTTTACGCCAAAACTGCAAAGGAAAAACATTTTTAGCTTCATTTGACTTTTAAGGTTCTTTATCTACAGCTTTAAAAAATCAAGATTGTAGAACTAGTTTTAAATGCCAGAATTTCTATCAAGTTATTTCTTTTATAATCAAAATTCTGAACTTAAATCAAATTTTTACCTTTGATTTTACGCCCAAAAAGCAAAGAAAATACTTTTTTTCAATAACAGATGTTAATTTTTAACAAAGTTAATTTTTTTCTTGGTACCATTACCATTGGCTTGTAATAATAATCTTTCTTTGCTTTTCAACTCCCATCACATTGGCGATTTTATTTTTTTGACAACGATGTCACTTTGACAATTAATTAATTAATTGAATAATGTTTGTTTTTGTTAAAAATGACTGTTTTTTTTTCAAAAGCTGTTTTTTTGACTTGCCATTTATTAAAATTATGTTTTTTACAAACATTTTTGTTATTTAACTTATCAAAGCGACATCGTTGCAAAAAAATAAAACGCCAATGTGATGCGATTTAAAACACAGCGGAAAAATTACACTAGTTAACATGATTTTTATACCTTAGCTAAAAGTTATAATTTCTTATAGATTTTGAGGCACTGAGTTCAAAAAAAAAACTATTTAAAAAAGTTCACCACGTTACGGTTAAGAAATATGTAATTAATAAAAATACAAAAACCGCCAAAGAACAAATTAAAAATGAGTTGTTTTACTTTCTTTTATTACACTTTTTTGGATCAGTTTTCTTTATAACAAAAACCTTCGTGTCGATTTTTGAAAACCCTTCAGATCTTGATGAAAACGCTCCACTCATGCTCCCTAAATTTTTAGAAAAGAAGTTCAAATGCGAGTGAAATGTTAAGACCTATTTAAACCCATATGGTAATAATTTAGCAATAATTCAGCAACAATTTGAATTTAAATACATTTTAAATCGGATGCAGAAAGGAAAATTATCGTCTGTAACAAAAAAGTGTGACGGTGATAGAAAAATTTAACAACTATTTTTGTTTAATTAAGAGTTAACAATAAAATAATAATTCGATTAAAGGTATATTAATTTTCTATTTACTGAGTCAAAATAATAAACATTTAAAGTTACAGACTTACTGGTTTCAGGTGAAACAAAAAGTGTTATTATTATTATGGGTTTTTTGCTTTGTTTAGAAGAAATAAAAATAAATATAAAAAACGGAAGAAACTAGCGATTTGTTAATAAAATTAAAAGTAAATCAGAAAAATTTTGTTAAGGTAATGAAATACATAGGCATGCAGTTTTTTCTCTAAAATTTGCTTAGTGTCATATTATAATCACCAATGAAGAAATTTGCAGAAAAAGACCGTTTTAGTTAGTTGGAAACACAACAAAACGCAGTGTGAGCAGAAACTTAGACTGGTGAATAGTTTTTTCCCCGGATGTACCAAACTTTTTTTTTTACCATTCCACTATCAAAAGTAAATATTCCGACGTCTCTTCCGTGATGTATATGATTTCGACGCATGATTGGATTCGCGTTATTTTTCACCCAAATACCAGCCAATGCATTCCGACTAATCTCATTATCTTCGTATGTTCCTTGGGCAAAATCTGTGACGTACAAGCCGACATTTTCACAATCACTTATATCACAATGACGTATGACGGGATTTGCGCCGGCACCACTCACACACACAGCAGCACCAACTAAATCAATAAAAGATTTGAAAAAAAAAACTTCAATTAAAATAAAAACGTACCAACTGATGTACTTCTTATAATGCAATGATCTATAGTCGGACTACAATTTTCTCCAACTTCAAGACAATAGTGTTTATGATGGGGTACTGTAGATGTGACATCTGGGGAAAATTTCAATGTGAGATGGCCACAATAGGCGTTTTTCGCTCCTTCGACAAACATCACCGTCGATTCAGATTCTCTTTCTAGTATCACCGACTCAGCAACGTTTCCAGGTGCCGCACCTATATTCAAAAATAATAATCATCACAATCAAAGAGTTTACTTTATAACAGACCTATAAGAGCAATGTCTGAATCGTCAATGACAAGAAATTCTCCACGATAAGTACCGGCATGTAGAAAAATGAGTGCACCTTGAGTGGTACCCTCAGTATGATTATTATTATTAACTGAAAGACAACCACTCGTACTGTTACTACCACTACGTTCATCAGCATAATCTAAAGCCGCTTGGATCGTATTAAAGTATACAAGATTACGTCCTTTAAATGTTAAATCTTGATAACCAGGTCTAACATGTATGCCGCGATACAATTGACGGAACGACTCCTTCCATGGATTTGCCAAATCAGACTCCTCCGGACTGACAAATTGAAAAACACAAGGTGCCGGATTAAACAATGGCAAATCGTATTCGTAAACGCTTTGATATAGGCGTTTCCTAAAAAAAAATTGCGTTTTTTTTTGTATTTCTGAAAATTTTCAATTACCATATTTCAGTATCGTTCGCAATGGCCTGAAACCGTTTACACACTTGACTCACACGACACAAATCCTGTTCGAGTAAATAATTAAATATCGTGAGCAAAACTTCATCCGGTAGCTCGTATTGAAGATAATGAGCGGCCGTATTTGTACAATCTGTAAAAAGAAAAATGTTTGTTAAAATTGCAATTTTTAGTAAAATTTCTCATTTGATTACTTTCGTACGAAGCGGAACAAGTCCTTCGTGGACGTTTCCTTGCCGGAAGCATGGCGGAAGTGTATCCTTGTGCTGGTGCCGTCGGTGTCGCCGGAGAAGTGGGAGATCCGGCCGTCGCGGCGCTGGTACTGGGTCCTGGACCGTCGTGATGGGACGGAGACTTACGTCGAAGGTCGTAAGGAGAGTGATGGGCTGGAATGGCGCCGCCGCTGGTCCCAGGGGCCATTGCTGAAGGCCCCCCAGAGCCCGGAGCGGCCGCCGTAGGTGCTGGAATGTTTTGGTTAGGTACAGGACAGGATGGTTCGCATGGCTCTGCTGCGAAACAAATTTCAACAATTATTATTCTACGACCTTGGAAAATTGACAGTTTTGGTGTTTTTTTTTTTTTTGAAATGAAAAATTTCAGCTTTGGCTATGTTTAACTTGTTTTCGACCGTATGTTGTTTGCTTACATGTATTTTTAGTAGCAAACGAAAATCACGCTTTCATCTCATTTTCCAAATGCCAATGAACAAAAAAACTTTACAAATTCAAATTACTGAAGCTGAAACGTGATGACTTTAGCCGAAAAATAAAACCTTGCAAGTGAATTAATTAATTACATTGGGGCATGTTAAGTGGGGTCGTTTTTATGTCAATTAAAAGGTAATTTAGACACTTGTTAGAAATCGATATTGAGGAATTTCGATTTATCAAGTTTGGCCCTTGTGTGGGGCTGTCTCCCTTGTTTACAAATAGCAGCGATAAAAATCGTTATCTGGACTTATTTGGGTTGTGTGTTAATGTGGGCAGCCCTGTTATTTTTAGTAGCCCCATCACTAAAATCGATATTTGGGGCCCCCAAATATAACTGTTTTCGCATTCTCGAAGATGGGGATTCGGGTCGCACGCAGCGGCTACACTTACCAGACGTGGTCCTTGAAGGAGTTGGAATCCTGTTAGCCCCCTTCCTGCGGGACCTCCTCACATACGACCTGGAGGCCGTGAAAGAGGCGCTCGGCATTTTTTCACTAGCACTACCACCAAAACCAATCTCTAAACAAAGGAGACACTGGAACTAGCACTGGCGGCCATATTCGCGACACCACGGAACCGGATCGACCAATCACTAAGCTGGTTTGACGTCACGTGACCGTTAAAATGTCAGAATGGTGCAGGATTTCTATGGAATTTTTGATTGTTTTCGTTCCATTGGGCTATGCTTGCTGATGTCTGTGACTTATGTCGCCAGTTTGCACGTATGGAAATCGCCGCACAACAGGTAACACATTCAAGTTTCAGGATTTGTGCACGAAAAACACCTTTTCACACAACATGAACAAAATCGAGTGGGCTAGCGACGGATGCCCTCCGCACCGCGCACCTCCCTGCCGCTCCCCGTTACGGTATAGTCTACGACAAATTCAATGTCGGGGGAAAAAAGAACAAGACCAACAAAGGCAACTATATTATTTATTACATAACAAAAGACTGCACCACTGGCTACTTGTTTATTTAACAAAATATCTTAAATGTTGTCTTCATATAAAAAAATCTTTTTTTTTGGTATTTTGAACCGTTTGTACAGTTCACATCATTTTCATAAGTTGAATGAAAGGTTAAACAGTCCAGGTGTGTGTTACCTGAGCGTTAAAATAACAAAAGACAAACAAATATATTCTTAGGTACGCTCAACGACACAATAAATGTTTACTTTTTCAGAGACCATCCATCCACAATAAAGAAACGTTTCATTAGTGTCTTTTTCATGTTATTTATTTCGCCATGTTTCCTTTACATAGGAATACACAGCAAAACTCTCGAAAAGGTATAAAAACAAAAGATTATACAGGGTGTGCCAGAACTCACGCCCCAGAGAAAATTTTCAAGTAAGGTAAGATACCAGGAACATGAAAAAAATGTTTAAAAAATTCTCTGTCAAAAAATTTTGACATTTGACATTTTTTTATATCTATTTAATGATACTGATGATCTTGTATATGTTTTTTTACAATTATTTAGTAAAGGGACAAAAATTTTGCCAATAAAAGCCACAAATAACATTGAACAGAGTTACAATTTAGGATACAGCTTCCTTGTTTCCTCTTTTAATAGCCTATAGCACAAAAACTTGGAAAATTATTTTTCCAACAGAAATAAATAGAGTCAAAGTCCAAACTTTAAACCCTCATAACTTCGAAATTTTTATAGATAAATTTTTTCCATGTTCCTGGTATCTTACCTAATATGGTGTTTTTCTCTGGGGCGCGAGTTCTGGCGCAGCCTGTGTAAAGTGGTAACAACTTGAATAAATTTCAGATTTCTTTACTCGGACTGTTGGGTTTTAAAACTCGCGGATTATGTCAAGCGACTGTGATGCCTTTATTTCTCACAATGATCCTATTTCTGGGACCAATCGCAATGAAAATACATAGTGGGTTATTGAAATTGTACACCGAACCCATGTACTGGATCAATAATATGAAAAATTTAATTTGGTTAAGGAATCATCTAGTTGCCCCCCTTTCCGAAGAATTTACTTACAGGAGTTGTATGTTACCTTTACTACTTGAATGTTTTTCTCCGATGACAGCTGTTTCAATCAGTCCGTTGTTTTTTGGAGTCGGTTTGTTATCACCACATTTTTTTATTTATAAATAATTCTTATGAAATGTGTTGTAGCCCATTTTCATCACATGCAAGAACGAATCAAGTACGGAATGGACTTTAATACAGCTTTTAAAATTGCATGTTTTCAATTTGTTTATACGACGATTTTTGGTATGTATTCGGCGTATTTGTTACTACGAACTGGTCATTTCATGTCGACTTTTATCGTTCATGCATTTTGTAATCACATGGGATTTCCCGATTTGGTCGAAGTTACCACATACAAAAGGGAGAAAAAAATCATTATAACGTGCTTGTTTTTCGTCGGATTCGGCTTGTGGTGTCTCTTATTAAATCCATTAACAGAACCTACTTGGTATTACAACAATCTCTCATGGTACAAAGTTAAATAGAAAATTGTTACTTAATTCTAGTTTAGGATAAAACACTTTGCTCAAGTTTTTTACGATCTTGACTCTAGAAATAATCCTATTAACAGTATTTGTAATTGTACCGTTTAATAAAAATGTTTGATTGTTATTTTTTTCGTAGAATTTTATTGAATAAATGAAAAGTGGACATTCTACATCGAGTAACATGAAAATTTTATCACAATTCAATTTCAACAGCAATTGCCACTTAAAAAAATAGCAAAGCTTCAGTCAACAATAACACCGATATTTCATTTAATAAAACTAATAGATACCAAAAAAGGCAAGATTTTTATTGCAGTTGTGCCCCACTTGCAATTTTTAACTAGAACTCGACGCCCTATCGTCTTGTTGATTCAAAAACGCCACATTACTAGATTTGAGTCTCGCAGCAGCTGCTATCGAAGGCAAAGGAGACATACAAGGCGTTGAACATAAACTATTACTCAAATCGCATTGATCCAACATTTGCAACAATTCCTCAGGCGAAGGCCCCCCAACTGCAAAACAACATTTGCATTATTATCTCATTGAAAACTTAAAAATTACCTAAATCCGTCGTCTTATACGCCAAATCCAATGCCGTCGTTAAATCCCACATTTGTATTGATCCGTTTGAATGTCCCGTAAAAATAAACCTTCTCGGTCTCGAACCCATCCGACTCGATCCTTCGCATTCATGCACACAAAACGCACTCACTGTACTGCCATCTACAGCCTTAATCACACAAACTCTTTTCCCATTACTCGCCAATCGAACAAAGAGTTGATCAGCATCAGGAACAACTTTCTGAATAAAAACTTGTTCATCGTCTTGTTCACCAAAAGGGCCACAATCGTTCGATGTCGCATGACTTATTGATGGTTCTACCGCTTCAAGCGACACTATTTTGAAAGAGGCTTCCGGTGTGGAGCCCGGCTGCGTTGATAACATACCTCTGAAGCGAGTCACTCGCCATGAACGCACATGGTTGTACTCACAACAAACCGAAACGAGATATTTTTCAGATAAGGTCACCTAAAAGTTGTTGTTGTTGATTGAATGATTTTTTTCGTGTCTATTTTCATTACTTTAGTGACGGGACTTTGATGGACTGTAAACGTCTGGAAGAGTTGAGGACCATGACCTACAGTTTCTGGATGTTGGACGATAACACGGACTGCACCGGAAGTGGTTCCGTATGCGATTTCGATCCAATTCCCACACAAATCTAACAATTTTTCGATTACAAGAAACACAAATAACACACAAAACTAGTTTTATATTGGTAGCTGTGTCCTTGTGTTGACATACCAGCAAACCAAAATTGTGCACAAATTAAATGTTTGATTTGTTGGAAATTCGGATTAGATTCGTATTAAATCTAATTCGAATGTACAGGGTGTTGCATTTTGGATGTCCGAATAGGGAATCTCCGAAATTAAGAGGTTTAGCCAAAAACGAGTGATACATTCTGGATCTCATTTTTTGAGAAAATAATATCGGTTAAAACCGCATCTCGCTATCGTCTTTTGTTTTCGACTTAGAGACAAAAATTGACATTTTAGCGAAATCTAAAAAAATCATATCTTCGTTGTTATAGAAGATACGGATTTAAAATAAAGACATTATACAGGCACTTTTTTACGAGGAATTTAATAATGTAGTTAACATTTTTTTTCAGTTATTAGTTTAGCCGTAATAAGATAAACTTGTATTTTTTAAAATGAAAATCATAGGCGGCTATGGCAATTTCGAAAAGCTTATTTTTTCTGATCTAAAAAATATATATTTCTAACAGAATATTTTTTTGTAACTATATTTAAAAAATGAAATACATATTTTGTTTCATAATAGTTGGCCATGGAAAAACTATTTCACTCCAAATGTGTAAATAATAATTAATAAGAGTTTTGTAAAATGTAAAATAAATGAAAAAATAGATAAAATTATAAAAATTTAAAAAATACGATACGGTAGAAGCATTGAACAAATATGCGAGCGCTTCAGAACAAAATTATTACGTATTTTTAAAAAATCCAAAAATAGGAAACACAAATGTGTCAACAGTCAACACAATTAGAAAAAAACATTTTTTTGATGATCTAATGGAGGTAGGATAACGTTTCACATAGACGGAATTTGAGTATTTGAATAGCCATATCGTCATTTTTGTGTCATATAAAATAAATTTTATTGAGGAATTAAAGCGGCTTTTTTATACAACACTCTATGTGTCACTAGAAGTTACAATGGTAATGTTATCTTGTTTAAAAACAAAGAAATGTTATTAGTCGCGAATAAGTTGATTTACAATTTATTTTGCATCTTTTTCATCACTTAGTACTTAGAAAACTCTTTCGTTAGTGACACTGGTTAAATAATATAGTTTAAATTCTTATAGTTGAAGATGCAACATTTTTTCATGGCCAACTGCGAACAAAAATCAAAGATAACTTTTTTGCTAAAAATGTATTATAATAATTTGTTACAAATATATATTTTTTAGATAAGAAAAAAACAAGCTTTTCAAAATTGCTATAGCCGCCTATGATTTCCATTTAAAAAAATACAAGTTTATCTTATTACGGCTAAACAAACAACTGAACAAAATTGTTAACTACATTATTAAATTCTAAGTAAAAAGTTGGCTCAATAATGTCTTTATTTCAAATCTGTGTCTTCTATAATAACGAAAATATGATTTTTTTTAGATTTCGCTAAAATGTCAATTTTTGTCTATAAGTCGAAAACAAAAGACGATAGCGGGATGCGGTTTTAACCGATATTATTTTCTCAAAAAATGAGATCCAGAATGTATCACTCGTTTTTACGTAAACCTCTTAGTTTCGGAGATTTCCTATTCGGACATCCAAAATGCAGCACTCTGTACTAAAGCTTTACATTTTTTTCACATTTATTTAAAAAAAAAAACACTACTAAAATGTAAGGCTTTTTACAAGTACGTCTGTTTGAAAAATGAACCAACGTGTAAGCTTCAAAATAGTGGCATACCTTCCCGACCTCTCTCTGACGCTGGGATGAAACACAAGGCCTAAGTTACAGGTATTTGACAAAATTCATAATAAAAGTGAAGCTATTGTAAAAATGAGTCACAATAAAATAGTGCATTAATCGTTAGCAAAACCATAAAAAAACTTACTTGTTTTCGGTGTTAAATACACCGAAATTGCAGTGACAGGATCATTATTCGGATCACGATAAAGTTCAGTAACTAACAAATCGTTATCTTTCATTCGTAGAGGAAATTTTTGCATATCTGAAAGTCACAACTGAAATAACCAAATACACAATTACACATCTTACCTATATAATAAATACAACCGTTATTACAACCAAGGAGAAGAATCGATCCTGCTGTATCAAAAGATGCAATTCTCATAACATCTTGTGTTTGCCAATGTTGAGTCATTGCATGCCAAACACCCAACTTTCCTGATGAAGACAACGCAACTAATTGACTACCAATAAAAAATAAATACTCGACAGGAACGTGCAAATTAAATATTCCTGAAATCAAACAAAAATCAATTGAAATAAAACTAAAACTCAAAAAATGGTACCTATATTTGTTTTTTCACCATTATCTGAAATTCCCCATAAACGTACTTGACTTCCGTACGAAATAGCAACCATTTTCGAGTTTTCACCACTACCCATTTTCGCATTTATTGCAATACGTTCAATGCATTGTTCTATATGAGGACTGGTGAAAACTTGTTGCCAACCACTAGAGTCTTTCAATCTGAAATAAAACTAACTAAAAAAAAAATAAAATCCAACAAATTCAAATCACCTATAACTAACGATGAAATGTGCGTAACCAACAACAATCCAGTTGTGATGGGCTTTTATTATCTGGACACGTAATGGGTCAGCCCATGTAGAACCTGAATTTCCAAAAACCAAACCGATATCATTCCTAAACAACTTATTCAAGTCAGCTGAAGAATTTCGAACGTGTCTCAAGTCCAAAGAAGCGGCTCGAGAATGTCCCCGACTTGCCAATCCCCTTAAATCCTGAGAACTACGACTGTAAGTAGCCGAGACTCTTAATTCTAATGAAGAATTACGCGAATGTCCTAAAATCATTTCAAGTGAAAAAAAAAAAACAACGAAAATGATATTTGCCTTGTGTCCTGCTATATGGCGGATTGGGAGGAATTTGTGGGGGATGTTGTGGCCAATGTGGGCCCCCATTTTCGTTATTTTCACCATCAGGCAGTCTAATACTCGAACCAGGACGTACCGAATGAACAGCTGTCGTTTCCACATAGTGTGAATTTGGTGCATCCTGTACTGGAACATCTAAAAATCGACAATTTAGTCACAACATAAATTTAACAAAATACATACAAGGGGGCGGGAGATACCCGTAAAACAGAACATCTCCACAAGTCGACTGTGTCAATTCCTCGCAAAGTATCAACCGTTTCACCAAGGGGGCTATATTGTAGTACTCAGCTTCGTGACGCAAAGTCCGTATGTTCGTACCGTGTAAATCGATTTCACGCGTACGCAGATAATTTAAAATTATGGAGAAAATTTCAGGATCGCGATCGATGAAAATCGCACCTTTCTCATCGCGTAAACTGGAGATTCTTCCACTAAGAAGAGCGGTGAAGAACGTGTCGGGAATTAGAGTCAGGGTCTGTTTTGAAGTGGAAAATCTAGAAAAATAGGGGACTAGAAGCGATTCAACCAACTGTGAAAAAATTACCTTTTACCACCGACGTTCAAATGAAGAATGTCACCTGTGTAAGGTTGATGCGATGCCATGATTTAGACCACTAATTGGGGCACGACATGATAGAGAAAGTTTTTTATTTTTCTTCAAACTAAATCGTGTGAAATATTTTGACAGGTTGACTCAATAAATAAATGACGTGGCCGGTAAAACAGGATTCTGTTTAATTTCGTTTAATTTTTATCAAATTAATTATATATAAAAACAATTTAAAATTGAATCAAGTTCATTCCAAACATTTCAGTTTTAATAAATTAATAATTCCGAATTTTTTTAAGATTATAAAATCACAAAGTGTGAAGGGCCGGTAAAACAGGATTCTGTATAATTTCTTCAAAGGTTATAAAATATTTATTCCACAAAGTGTGACAAAAATTCTTAAGCATAATAATTAAGATTGGCCTTCTTTTTCGCTTGCACTTCCATAATCGCGTCCATATAATCCTCATGTGTGACTGCAGTCGCATTTCTCCTCAATGCAATCATTCCTGCTTCTACACACACAGCTTTACATTGCGCCCCATTAAAATCATCCGTAGACCTCGCCAACTCCTCAAAATTAACATCAGGATTAACGGTCATTTTCCTTGAATGAATCTGCATAATTCTCGCTCTTGCTTCTTCATTTGGATGCGGAAATTCGATTTTTCTATCCAATCGTCCAGATCTCAAAAGTGCTGGATCCAAAATATCAACCCGATTGGTCGCCGCAATGACTTTAATATCCGCCGTTGAACTGAATCCATCTAATTGATTGAGTAACTCGAGCATAGTACGTTGAACTTCCCTGTCTCCAGCTTTTTCCGAATCAAACCGTTTCGTTCCTATAGCATCTAATTCATCGATGAAAATAATAGCGGGGGCTTTTTCCTTCGCAAGAGCGAAAGCGTCTCTGACTAATTTAGCCCCATCGCCAATGAACATTTGTACTAATTGGGGGCCAGCAAGTTTGAGAAAAGTTGATTTCGTTTGTGCAGCACAGGCCCGAGCTAGGAGAGTCTTCCCCGTCCCTGGGGGGCCGTAAAGAAGGACACCTTTAGGTGGGTGAATTCCCAAATTGAAGAACTTGTCTTTGTGGGTCATTGGTAACACTACCGCTTCAATCAACTCTTGAATTTGTTTATCAAGACCGCCAATATCAGAGTATTGTTCCGTAGGACGCTCGTCGACTTCCATAGCTTTAACTCTGGCATCGTATTCAGCTGGAAGTGTCTCCAGGATGAGATAAGAGTCTTTGTTAACCCCCACGAGATCCCCCGGTTTGAGTTTCTCTTCATCTACGAGGCCAATAACCGGGAGGAAATACGTTTGACGAGTGGAGGTTTTAACGACTGCACATTTGCCCTTGCGTTGAGAGTCTAAATCAACGACAGCCCCATCTTCCTCTTCTTCTTGCGGATCGACGTCGAGAAGTTCAATAACGTTGCTTACCAAATACGGAAGTGTTTTATTCACCTTGATTTTCTCGGTGTTTTCTTTAATTTTCTCGTTTTGAGCTTGCAATTCGTGATTTATTCGCATCACCTCGCTCTTCATGATTTTGATTTCATTGTCGAGTAGGCGCGTCCGACTGACGATTTCATCAGTGGACATGCGAAGAACTTCTTCACCAAGGGACTCTTCACCATCTTCAAATAAACGTTCATCGAGAGTCGACATAATTTCACTGATTTTTTAATAAATTACGACGAGAAATTGAAACACCACTGTTGTGCTGTCAAAATTTAAGCTCGCCGAGTCATTGTCACAGGTTCGCCAACTGTCGCCAAAACTCACCAACTTGTAACGAAATTAAATCCTAATTTATAAAATTTGAAATGTTTCTTATGCCAAAAAAGTGAGAAATGTATGTGGTGTTTCTAATAGGTTTAAAATCACTTGTTTTATTGTAGTAAAACAGGTTTAAAGTTACATTGGCAGCATTGAATGTCACGCTTTATTGCGGCAAATTTGAAATAAAATTTGTACCACAAGTGTTTTTACTTCTTTTATTTAATTTTAGGAAAATAGTAATTGCAAACAGTAACATTTTGAATGGTTTAAATTTAAATAAATAATACACAATACCTAATTCTAAAATTAAATCTTACAAGTAAAACTATTTGCTAATATTTACACCAGTCGAGGTCTTTCATTTTCATAACCCTAAAAGAGAGCAAATAAAAATTAATCGTAAACTTTTTTTTTTCCTACCCATTGTCTCTTGTTGAATCTCCACTTTGTAGGTTGGATTATCATAGGCCGATTGACTAACCCTCGGCGGGGGCGGCGTAATGGCAGCTTTATTCTGATTGTGTCTCCTAACTAAAATCAGTAACAAAATCAACGTACTCATAATGGCAATCGCCGCTAGGATAGCAACAATGACTAGGGGCCCATAATAGTCGCCCTTTTGCTCCCCTCCTGCTAACAATTTGTCCGATTGAGTGGGTGATGCCCCCAACGCCGATGCCGCTCTCGGTTTCGTTATAAAATCTTGAACATTACTAGTTTTAATTTTCCCATTGGTGAGATAAACCTCCAACCACAAGCGATATCTAGTCCCTGGTTTTAACTCATTCACCACCGTTTTCGTAGGGGAATCCCGCTTCGCAATTTTAAACGTACTATGATCTTCTTTGCCTGAATCGCTTTGATAAATCGCACGATAGATATTGACGTATTTGTCTTCCGGGTAAGGCACCCCAGACCAGGAAATTTCTACACTTGTTGACTTGATATGAGAGATATCTAATGTGACATTGAAACCATAAGTATCGATTTCGTTCGCTGTAGTAAAATGAAGCATATGTTCAGCGTGAAGTTCGGTCAATTGTCCCGGAAAAGGAATGAAAAAAATCCCAATTTCGTATTTCCTATTCGGTTTGAGATTCTCAAGTGTGTAACTTGTCACAGATCTGTGTATTAGTGGAGTAGCATCGTAGATTTTTCCTTCAATTTCCTTAAATCGTAACTGAACTCCATCAATAAATTGCAATTCGTATTCGGTGAATTTCCTCCAAATCACAGTTACCCACGTTGCATTTATATCACTGATGGCCAATTCCGGTTCAATTGGTATCATAGGAGGTAAAGTAGTCGCATTGTGATCTTTAAGAGTTCTTATTTTATAAATTCTACTACTTGGAGTGTTGTGAAGATCGCGCAAAGTTATCGTTATTTTAATCTTGTATTCAGTGTCAGGTTTGAGGTCTAAAAGGTCGAATTCAAGTTGAGGAGTGGCGATTAAGTCGTTAGGAGGTGCAAAAACTTGCAATTGCCATGAATTCACATCGACATCACTGAAAAATCAAACACAAATATAAGAAAAACAAATCGAATGTGATTTTACTCGTGATGTGTGTATCGCACTTCCACTCGTCCATGCAACCCCACAATCACCGAAGGGACCACAAAAGCCAATCGCACGGTATGAGCATCGACGGCTTCAAGAGCAGTCACTGTTATATCATCCTGTTGCATTGTGGGGGGGAAACCCCCTGGAAATTGTTGACCTACAATAAATCACTTGATCGTTTCATACAATTAGTAAAGCGACAAACCTCGAAATGTCGTCGCATTAGACAAAATTGGACTTTGTGGGGCTAAAAGTACCGGTCCGTTAGTGAATGATGGTAAAATATGACCATTAGGGTTTGCATTTTTGTGCACTTCTTGTAAAATTTGCTCAAGAGTTATGCCAGGTGGTAAATCGTTCGAATGACCGTTTTGTGGAATGACATAAGGGATGAAATGTTGAAGGCGATTTGGGGGAACGAAAGAAGGTTTATGAATTTCGACAACGGATCCTGAGGGATAATTCGTGATTTCGGGATGTTGATGAATGAATTGTAACAATTCGTCTTGATTTCCAAGTCCCGATGATGATGATGATGATGGTTTCTTATTATTTTGTTGAGGTTTTTTATAATTCGGATTGTAAGGACCAAGAAATTTGTCTTTTTCGTTCTTATGATAATATGGATTTTCGTCGGGGGGTAAATTCGGAGGTGTAAAGGGTTTAAGAGGGTTTTTATTTTTATCATCGGTTTTATTATGGTTTTTGTAAACTAGTAACGGTCCCATGATTTTCGATGCTGTTTCGTTACGTCCATCAGTCTCTGAAAGAGATTTTTGTCACAGTTTCTAAGTAAGTACATGATGGCCATCCCAAAGAAGTTATACAGGGTGTATCAGAACTCGCGTCTCTGGGAAAAATGCCATGTAAGGTAAGATACCAAGAACATGGAAAAACGGTTAAAAAAAAGTTTCAAAATTTTTGTACTATAGTAAATAATTATAAAAAAAACCTGTACAAGATCATCAGTATCCAGTGTTGCCAGATCAGAAACATAAAATTCACCAGATTCGAGTAGAAAATTTTGCCAAATTTTCACCAAATTACAAAACTTCACGAAAAAACGTAGTTTTCACCTTAAAAATCTGCTTAAACTCTTAAAAAAATCAAAAATGACATGCTTTTCAATATAATTCTGTAATTTTTCAGCTTGTTTTCAACAAAATTTTGCGAAATAATTTGTTTCGAAGAGCAAAAATAATCAATAATCAATCAAAATGATCAAATTTATTGAATTTTTGGATTGTTTTTAACGAAATTTTGCAAAGTAATTGTATTTCTAGTTGAAAAAGTAATCGAAAAAGACAAACATAAAACATCATTTTCGATTCTGTCTAGTAAAATCTTGTAAAAAAAACAAACAGAACTATTTTTAACCAATTTTGTGGTTTTTCAACTTTTTTGAAAAAAGTTGACTAAATAATCAGGTTTCTGGTTGAAAACGTGGAAAATGCTCAAAAAACAGTTTTTATTTTCTTTTCCAAAAAATCACCAAAAACTGGATGTCCATTGTATCTGTTCCCGCCTGAAGGAGCAAAAAAAGACAACATATTATACATTTCATAAATTATTTTGTGTAAAGTATTAATTATTCTAAATTGAATAATCATAGTCGGTGCTTGATTATAGAAAACTTCAAAAAAAAATAAAAATCAAAACTGAAATGTATATAATAATGGGAATAACAGCAAGAAATTAACAAATTATTGTATTGGTTGCTTGCCTATTTATGAAATTCAAAGAGAGAACAGATAAAATGGGCACCCTGTATAATATTTTTACAAAAGTTTTAACCAAATCACCAGATCTGCTGAAATTTCACCACACCTGGCAACACTAGCAAAATTATTAATTAAATAGACATAAAAAATGTCAAATGTTAAATAAATGTCGCAAAAATTGGCGGATTTTTTAAACATTTTTTCCATGTTCCTTGTACCTTACCTTACATGACATTTTTTTTCCACGGCGCAAGTTCTGGCGCACCCTATATACTACTATATACAGAGTGTTTTGTCAGTCCTGTACAGTCGTTAGTCTATAACCCCACAAAGTACAGTTTTGGTGCCACTTACCTTGACTGCACACCCAATACATGCAGCATTCGTCATCGGGAAGATGATCCACCATTGCTTGATGTGGTGGACATGGAAGTGTTGGAGGCGGTAAAGCCGTCACCGGAGGACATGTATTTTGACATTCGACATTTCCCATTTCGCAATAACATCGTTTTTCACAACCGGTGATGTTTTCAGGTAATTGTTGCCAATTTTGGTAAGTGTGACCTTCATAGACACAAGAACCGTTACTTTTACATTTCAACTCTTGAGGACAACAGTTTGGAGGCGTCGGATGGAAATTCGGAGGCACTGTCTCCCATTCAACACAATTTGGATCGAGCACATCCACGCCAAAATATGTAGGACATTCAAGTTTTAAACATTTCATTCCTGATTCTTTACAAACACACAGAGACGTACAATTATCATTGTACTCTTCGTTTAATTCATAAAACTTGTCTTTGTAAGTGCAACCTGTAGAAGATGAAGTGTTTGCTGACACGATTTTAATACTTTCTTTGCTATTTTCCAATTTGAGATACTTGGTTCCGTCCATAACATCGACATATTTCTGTGCTCTTATTTTATAAGTTTTCCAATCATTCTGATCTGAACTCCCTTCGATATAAATCGAATTCTCTTTATCGTTCAATTTCGGATCAAATTCTAGTTCAACTGTTGATTCATTTAAATATTTTGCTTCAATTAGTTTATGGTGAATTTGCATGGAATTGTCCGATTCATGATCGTCCAAAGTCACATCACAAAGCAATTTCTTACAGCAGGAATCATTCGGATCTTGGACTTGCACACACTTATCGTTCGTTTTATTAACAGGAGGACAGCGTGGCTTGCAGGACGTTTTTCCTGCTATTTCACACGTACAAACTTCGTCACAATCTTTATTGAACGATTCGCCACGATTGTAAGTGTGATTCTTGAACGTACAGATTTCTAAAGGCTCCGTTTCTGGAGGTAAAATAAAAAATTAATACAGACATTCTTGTGTTTTAAGTTTTTAACAGTAAAGCTGAGTTAGAATGCGGATGAACGTTGATTTTTCTAGTAAATAAAATAGGTTACCGACCGAGAGTCGCTCAGTCGGTATTACAGGAAACTATACATCATAGAGTTAAAGAAGAAGAAATTTTGTCCTGAAATCGTGCAAATGCTACTCTACAACCCCCATAGCTACTAAATTCCCCCCATTTACCTACCCGTATCTGCTGTGCAAACCAAGACCGCACAACACTTGTCTTCAGTGTCTTTCTCTATGCACAGCGGATCTTCAATCTTCTTTCCTTTCCTCACCATGGGTTTGAGACATCTGTCTTCACATTGCATCTTGCCGTTCCGGCATGTGCACACCGATTCGCATCCGATTTCTAATTTTTCTCCTTCTTCATAGGTCAAGCCTCCTTTTGAGCAAATGGTGATATTGTCGTGTTCTTCATCGATGGTGACATCGCTGAGGTCTCCATGTTCATCATGTGTGTTGTTCAATGATTCCGTCATTGTGAAATTAAGGGCACGTCCTTTGTGTTCGTCGTCTTCGGCGAGCATATTCATGGATTGAAGAAGAAGGGTTGGTTTCTTAGTGGTTTCTGCAAGAATATAAGAAACGACTTTCACCAACAACATGATAATTGGTCACGAGAGTGCACCAGGATGTGCACACCTGTCATACGGTTTTGTAACTGTATCGTTTTCGGAAAGTTTACACACTGATAATTGCGTTAAAGTTTCAATTAAAACGAAGATTTGGAGCAATGAAAGATCTTTACTAAACATTTTTTTTTCGGTCAATTGTTCTAAAGTGTAACAAAGCTTAACTTTTGACTTTTCAGGTAAAGTTTACTGTAAACTACCTTTTACTGTCATTATGACTGACATTTGACAATTAATCTTTTTTTGTTGTTAAAATAGTTAATTAAACACTTTGTCTGTCTTAGGAAGTTTATTAATTGAACCAAGTGTAATTAAATCATCGCTTTCATCTGCACAAATCACTATTTCTGAAAGTAAATAAGTCAAAATGACAAACATGACAAGAGTAAAAAATGAGGTTATTAATGTAAAGGTTGTTTTAGAGTTTACATTATGAAAATGACAATACTGCCCAAAATTTTAATTCCGCAACTGTACACTTTAATATACATAATAAAGAAATAAATGAAGATAATTAATTAATTATATATATAATTAATTAAGATAAAATAGTATTAAAATGAACAAAGAAAAATAACAACAACAAATTTTGGACGATTTGACATTCGACTGACATGAAAATGTAAATCAGGCCTAAGACAACTAACCTCACTGAATTTTTTGTAATTTTTATCCTGATAGCCAGAGAATAAACGACAATAAATCAAAATAATTTATTAAACTTGTGTAAAAACACGTATGCTGTCATTATTCGGAAAATCGACGTCAACAATAAATTTCAACTAAAAATTTTAAATTTTAGTTTCAAACGTCAATCATAAAGCGTGTTTTACATTGACATTTTTTGAACTGATGTCCAGAATTCCGTGTCCGACACTGTATTAAAACAAAAGCAATCTGACAACTAACATAAATCTTTATAAACAATCTATTTTTCGGGTTTTTTTTTTTCAGGTACAGTTGCGGAATTAAAATTTCGGGAAGTATTTTTTCTGTCACTTTAAAAAGTTCACTGTAAACTACCTTTTACTGTCATCATGATTCACATTTGACAATTAAACTTTTTTTTTGGAGTTAAAATAGTAAATTAAACAATTTCTCTGTCTTAGGAAGTTTATTAATTAAACCAAGTGTAATTAAATCATGGCTTTCATCTGCACAAACCACTATTTTTGAAAGTAAATAAGTCAAAATGACAAACATGACAAGAGTAAAAATGAGGTTATTAATGTAAAGGTTGTTTTAGAGTTTACATTATGAAAATGACAATACTGCCCAAAATTTTAATTCCGTAACTGTACACTTTAATATGCATAATAAAGAAATAAATTAAAATAAAATAAAATGAACAAAGAAAAATAATAACAACAACAAACACACTGGCGGACACGGAATTTTAGACGATTTGACATTCGAATGATATGAAAATGTAAAATAGGCCTAAGGCAACTAACCTCACTTTGGGTTTTTGTAATTTTTATCCTCTAAAAAATAACAACAAATCAAAATAATTTATTGAACGTATTGCTGGCATTATAAAATAAATTTCAACTAAAAATTTTAAATTTTAGTTTCAAACGTCAATCATAATGACAATAAAGCGTGGTTTACATTGACATTTTTTGAACTGATATAAATCTGACAGCTAACAAAGATCTTTATAAACAATTTATTTTTCGGTCAGTGTAACAATGCTTTTAAATAAAATTGGTGCGAAGATGTCAACATTTTTCAATTGCAAGTCACAGTTAGAATTAATTATAGAAAAAGTGCAAATTGCTACTCGTGTAAACAATTTCCTACTTTTAATGTAATTGCAAAGTTCCCACGGAGAATTTTAAAGTTGCTGAATCGCTAAAGCATTACATTTTAATAGTTTGTCAACCGAGAGTGGGAAAAGTTTTTGTTTCAAAAAATTATAAAATTTTATTTCATTTTTCTTGAGAAATTATTCATCCGAATGTACCCACTAAACAGGTTTCAAATATTACGTAATAACTGCTGCGTCTTATCAGCTATTTTTAGAGTCGTGCATAGAATCTTAAGTTACTTGTTTTTTAACTGTTTAATTTATTAACAATTCTTAATTAGAGGATTTTATAAAACTAAATTGTGTCCTTGAATGATGAAGTTAGTGGCACACGCACATAAATTAGCATAATTTCGACGAGAAAACTTGTTGACATAATTTTAGCCAAAAATTTATGCCAAAGATGAGTTCAAAAAACAAAAAAAATTCTGAAACGGTACCTCCAATATGTAAATTGCAACTTGTTCTCAAGCAACACCTAACGGCATTTATTGCCACAACAACGTAAAACAATGCAACAATTTTAAAATCTTGTTAATTCTAATCAGTCCATTGAACTTGACGGAAAACTCATATTGAAAAAAATGATAATTTTCACACTCCATTACTTCAACCAACTTAATCTAAACAAAGATCTGCTCGTATAAGCGTAGTTCCTCAGTAAATCAGTCTAGTAGGTATAATGAAATATGCAAATTATTAAACTCGCTATAAAAGAGTGAAAGTTTCAAGTGATGTTGATTCAACAATGGCCAACCATTGTTTATTATATGACCCATATTTATTGTTAAATTGCCGTTTGCACGATTTTAACTACTAGCCATTTCGAAACGTAATTTGCACCAAATTGCCCCATTTGTTTTAATAATCTTTAAACAAGATTGCGATTACGTAAAACTAAAAATGAAGAACTTGAAGAAACTAGTTTTATTTATTTAGTTGCTGAGAAAGGAAATATCAATGACTCACAATTTCCTTTAGAGTTATTTTATTTGCATTTCCATATAGCACACGTGATAAAACCTACGCTAACTACGACTTATCTACTAGAACTTTTTTCACTATACAGGGTTATTCATAAATATGAAGCAACATTTGAACCTCAAAAATGACCTAAAAAATGATGTTAGTGTCCGATCTCTATTGATAATAATTTTACAGCCCTCGGAATGTAGGTATGGAAATCTTTTTTTTTTTAATAACTTTGGAACCATTTGATCAAATATTATAAAATTTGGAATAGTTACTTGCGAGAACATACCCTTTAGGCTAGTAATTACGAAAACCGGATACATTTACTCAATTTCCGGTTTCAGCAGTTGCAGATCACGTTTTCTGTGTTTTTCCGTTTTTTTGGCCTCTTAACACTAATTTTTTATTGCTTAAATCTAAAGAGTAATCAATTTTGAATAAAAAACCTCTAGAATGGACCGTTTTAAAGATATTTTAATTTAAAGTGAGGACTGCACAACACTGAAAATGAAAAATATGAATTTTGAATAAGTGGTATCCACGGCAACCAATAACCATGGTCACATAAATCAGACATTTGTTAACTTTGACGATAAATTTTTATGATTTTTTTATGAATTAAATGCTACGAAATCCATTTTGATTTATTCTAACTTATGTTTGGAGTCTGTGGTAAACCCTTTTATTAAATATTTTCGATTAATCGTCTAATAATCGTCCAAGTTGACAGATGCCTGACAGCAAAATATGTGACCATGGTCATTTGTTGCCGTGGATGTCACTCATTCAAAATTCATACTTTTTGCTTTCAGTGTTGTGTAGTTCTCACTTTAAATTAAAATATCTTTAAAACGGTCCATTTTAGAGGTATCAGGAACGTATCCAGGAATTAATAAAATGATTACAAATTATTTTGATCTCTCGGTATATGTATGATTTGTATTAATAAGTGTGATTTAAAAAGAATTCTAATGTTTCTATTTAAAAAACTTTAGGTCATAAGGTTTTTATATTTAAATTTAAATATAAAAATAAAAAATTGAAGCTTTTGGTGGCAAGTTTGGGGGGGGGGG